CCGAAACTTCTCTCAGCAAACTTTCTCTTTCATTTTCTCCCCCTCTCAAGGTACGATGCCGCCCAAGGGTCCTGGCAGAAGCAAACTGCCAGTCCCTCTCCCTAAAGACATGATCCTGAAAGACACCGAAGGAAAAACCTGGAGGCTGGGCAGTCAAATCGGCCAGGGAGGCTTTGGCTTGATCTATTTAGGTAAAAAAGCGGTGGTAATTAAGAGGGTGACTTGTAACTTCTGAGCTGGGTAAAGCAGAAGGGATTTGAGAAGTTAGTGTTGTTTACATGCTGAAGTGTGGTTTCTTGAGGATGATCCCCTGCAGTTCCCGTTCCATCCCTGCTGATGGTGCAGTGTTCTCCACGGGCTGTCCGGCTCACTTTGTGGTTATTCTGGTGCACTTTTCTGCGGATCGTGGGTGGGGCAATCACGGTGCTGCTGTCAAAGAGCACTGCCAGGTGATGCTTCTCAAAGGAAAAGTTGCTTTTGTTAGGCACTGCTTTGGGTTTATGCCAGTCTCATGTTCTACAGCACTCTTTCTGTTTCTGGCTGTTGGAAATATTGTTTTCTGGCCAAGAAAGCATCGAAGGTATGTAACAGGAACAAAAGTTAGCTGGGTGTTGCTTCTCAATTCAGATCTTCTCACCAGAGGTGGAAATGCCGTTCTTTATTTGCTCTGTCCTAGATAAGTATCTGAGTTTTCTTCAGAAGTAGCTGCTGCATTTCAGTGAGATTGTGCTTTATGAGGAGCGAATAGTTCTGAAAGGCAGTTTGTAAAGCATTCTGGGTCACTGGAGAGTGTATAATGCATGTTACTGTTGCTGGGCTCTATGAAAGAGCAAATCCTGTGTTCAAGGCAGTATTATGAGTTTGGTGGTTTGGTTTTTCTTTTTTTCATTGCATACACAAACTAGTCCACAGTGACTGTTCAGGACTTGAACTTGTCAAAATTGAACTTGAAATCGTGCTAGCATTGAGACAGCAGTAAAGAATTACCTAGAAGCAGTTCAGTATGTTGTCCCTGGAGCTAAACATGATCTATTTAGGTTAGAGTAATATTAACTCCATTAGGAATATTAATGCTTACAACTTCATAAGCAACTCACTCCTGAACACAAACCAACTTCCTTTTATGCATAAATCAGCTATATCCTCTTTATTTAAGCTTCTCCTTTTTGTGTGTTTCTGCCATGGAAAATGCAGTTTTGATTGTTTCTCAGATGCTGCTTGTCAAAACGGGTTCCCAGTTGGGCTGTTCTTGCAGCTATTTACATGTGGCTGTAAATTACAGCAGAGTGAACCATTGTACCTGTGCATCTGGACTGAGGTAGCACCTGCACTTCAGGTTGGAGTGAAGAAACTTTCTAGGGGGGAAGAAGGAGTAGTCTGGCACTTTGCTCCACCAAATGCTTGTACAAACAGAACAAAGCAATTTCAGTAATGACCTAAATTCCACTGCTTCTGCTTTTCTGCAGAGTAAATTCAATCACTGGAGAAATTTAAGGCTGTGTATGTGCTTGTGAGTAGTTTGGTGTAACCAGGGAATGAGGAAATGGCAACAATCAGTGGGTACACCCCATAGTAAGAGACAACACCTCCCCTTTACTGAAATCTAGGGTTTGTTTTAAATTTGGCTAGATTTGGTGTGGCCTGCTGCACTGCGTTTCCTCACCAAGGGCATGGTTTGAGGCTGAAGGAATGGGTTTGAATCCTGATGTCGCTGTTAGTAGTTGGAGCACATCTGAGAGGTTCCTGCAGTGGAGTTTCTGGTTTGGTTTCCTCTGGAATTCCTACAGTTCACACACACCTCGCTGCTCTGCAGATGGAACCAGTGGGAATGATGGGGGTTTCAGCTAAGTGCAGATACAGAGGAGTCAAAAGATAGGGCACTGTTAGAATATTTACATTCTTTTTCCTTTTGGTATCTGTTATCTTATTATGACCTTCTTTGAAACACTAGTTGGTTACATTTGAGAGATGCTGTGCATAGAGCATACATTAGATGTAACCATAGAAAACAGGCCTTAGCAGGAGATAAGAAGTGAAGTGTCTCTGGATATTCGCATTCAAGGATAAAGGAAAGGAAGTTGGAAACTTGCAGAAGTTTCCCACAGAAGGGTCTGAGGGAGCTGGGGGTGCAGTGCAGAAAGCAAGGCCATAGTGGGTGTAGTTCTGCAAGAGTAATAAACCAAAAAACGCGGTGTTCCTGAATCACTCAGGATACAGCTCTGTCATTCTCTGCTGTAGCACTGAACTGAAGGCTCAGTTCCCCTTGTAGCTCATCCTGCAGTTAAAGAGGAAATGGACAACATTTGTCCATAAGTATTGACACTGACTGAAGTTGTCTTTCTTTGTCCACCTCTTGATCTCTGATACGTGTTTATATGATGTGAATCATACCACTCAGTAGCTTTTTGGGGCTTGGTGCCACAAAACAGCTTTCTCTGAGAGCCAAGGGATGTGGAGTAGATGACAAACCTTTGAGAGTAAGATGGGGATGCTTGGTGAGAGACACTTTTGTGCTGTTCAGACCGATTTTTGGTGCAGGTTGTGAGAGAAGCAATAACTTTCAGGGAGGGGTAAGATAACCCAGAAAGGGCTGCGGAGAGCTGGGCAGACAGGAGAGTGGAGGCAGGTTCGATTGCCTGCCAGGAATGAAGAGCACAGCCCTTTTATGAAAGTAAAGGTTAACTTTGCCAGCTATTTCTTTTAATAAGTGTTTTTACAGTGGCAGTGTAAAGATTTTGATGTGAGTTGTTATAGCTTAATTTCCCATTAAGACTATTCCATACTCCATTAATCCATAACAACGTTCTTGGGGAATTTTACAGCATCTCTGCAAAATATATTTACAAGGGGTACATTCCATGGAGGAAGGTTCTTTGCACTAAATCAAAACTGCTCAAAGCCCTTTACTGACCCTGAGACCCAGGATGCAAATAGTTCCATGTGCTTGGAAGTTACCACTACCTGCAAGTTCTGTCCTTTCTGTCCTGCCTCACAAATGTTTTCTGATTATTCTTTCTCTTTCCAGTCTGTGCCAACTTGTTCATTTCTTTGTTGCTTTGTTCCTTCCCTTGGATTCCCTTTGCATTTTCACCTCAGCCAGAGCAAATCCAGCAGCAGAAGGTCTCCAAAACTGATTCCTCCCCATTGCTGACAGAAGCAACAAAAACCCTCTCAGAGATGTTCTAGATCTCAAAAGCACTGCTTTTGTCATAGCAAGAACAACATGGATCATCAACAGCAATTAACTACACCATTGTACATTAGAAGTTTTACTCTGTGTGTGTTACTGGTGTTGATTTGGTTTCAGGCACCTCCGAACTGTTATCCCTTGGATAAGGGGGAGCAGAGGGAAGAGCAGCTGAGGAAGAACATGACGTGGTGGTGGTCTCACAGCTGGTTTGTAGCCCTGTGGAGAACAGTGGCAGCACACTGGAAAATGAACCAGGAGTTGAGGAGCCTTACATTCTCTCATTTGTCACAGTCAGTAATTAACAGCAGTCTTTATATAAATCATCCTCCAGTCCTGCTGCAAGCACTCTATTAATGCACAATTTGGAGAGAAAATTTAAATGCAGAAAGGTCACACAACGTTTTGTTAAGATTCCTCTGTCACAGTGGAACCTGCTGTACCCAGCACTCTCTCCTTGCAGGCTTCCTTCTCATGGAAACTGGTGGTTCTGCAAAAAATGTATTTTTTTAATGTTTCTATGCACAGGGGTTTGGTAGATGGTGTTCATCACAGTACATTCTGCCCTCGATGTTCTGGCAGTCAGGCTGAGAGATTGAGAGACATTTGTTTCTGTTTCAAAAGCACTCATTTCCAGGGGTAGATTGTATAGTTTTGAGCAGGGGGGTACAAGTGTAGAAGAAGAGAAACATTGACAGAAGCACTCTCTGTCCTTGTCCTGCTGTTCATTCCTTGGTTTGCTGGGGAAGTTTGCTTTAGCAATTGTTTCTGGAGAAACAAAGTACTTCAGCAGTTGCTTAAATTAACTTCACTGAAAATATTTATTAGAGTGAAGCAAATGAATTAAAAATGCAGTGAAGATGATACCAAAAGATATAAATTCAGCACAATTTTCATTGGCTCAATGGAAAGAAGAATATTAAAAGCAAAGCCCTGTGATTAAAAGCACTGGCAGGTAACTCAGGGTAGGGATGGATTTTTCTTAACCCTCAAATGTTAAAATGCATTTCATCAAAGGTCTCATTGTGAACCTTAGTGTGAAAATAAATTCATTAGCAGGCAAACAGCACTTGAGGAAGGAGTGTTTTTTTCTAGTCACTAATATTAAACTGTACAAATACAGATATTGCAAGCAGATTACCTGATTTTTCACACTGTAGGCAGACCAATTATAAATTCAGCCTGATTTTGCTTACTCAGGGGGTACTTAGGGCTGAGCACAGGGTACAGGACCAGCCTGCACCACCTGTTCAAGACAAAATACTCCCTCCTTCAACTGGTGATGACTGCTTCCCTCTGAATCTTCCCCCTTCCCTTTGTTTGGGTCCTCTGTGAGCTACAAGTCTGAGCGCTGCAAGTGTAACTCATTTTCATACAACATTCTAAAGCCTGTTTGTTACAAAGTGTGCAGGATCATTCCTGTTCTGCTTTCGTGTTCTGCCACATTCTGTGCTGGGCTTTTTTTCCCCATGTGAATGGCCCGTGGTTTGGGAGCTGCTGTTTGACTGATCTGTTTGTTTGTTCAGTGGGGATGTATTTCCGAGCAGGAGGAGCTTTGGAGGGAACCTGTTGCCTTCTGGAGGGCACTCCTTTAGCTGCCTTTGGCACCTGGACCCTGCTGGAACTGGTAGAGGATCTTCTGAGCGGGCACCATGTCAGACAAGCAGATGGGCTGGAGCAAAACCTTGCCAGGAAACAGTTTGTGCCTCAAGTTTTAAATATTAGAGGCCTGGACTGCCATGTGAGAGGGCTGTGAGAATAGAGCAGGCAGAGCTTTTCTGCCTGGGGTTAAAGGATGTGTCACACCTCTTCCAGCTTAGAGGGATTAACTTTGAAAGTCAAACAGTGGTTTCGTTTCTGTGCAATACAAAACTTTGGCTCTGCTGAGTCAGGATTCAGGTTTCACAGAAACGTGAGTCAGAAACGTTCTGAGATTGCCTACCAGTGCTGAATGCTCTGCACTTGGAGGCATTTTGAGACATCTGCAGAACACTTGAGCAGATGAACATGATTTTCTCCCAAAATCAGTTTGGTTGGGTCTTGTGGAAGGTGGCTCCACGAGCAGGGGATGGAGGGCTGTGTCTCTGTAGTTTGTATAATAAAACTCTACATTTGTAAAGCTTCCTGGGAGAAGAATCCAGAATAAAAGCTGTTCAGAAACACTGCTCAGAGAAGAGCCTGTCCAGGAAAGGAGGATGCAGCTATAAAGTGACAGAGAAGCAGATCTTCCTTAGGTTGCTTTAAAAGTGGAGTTTAAACACCCTTCAAGGACTGAATGTTTCGGTTCTTGGGAAATATTGGATATTGCAATGCCAGAGAGGGGGAAACAGTGTGCTTTGTTTGCCCCTAAATATTTTATCTTAGTACCCTCCTCATGCAGGAAATAGTGATGTGTTAAATGCTACTTTTTATTTACTTATGTGCGTTTTGTTCTTAGTAATTCTATTGCTGCAACTTGGATCCTTTTTTATTGTTAGATAACACTCTATTTTATCTATTTTATTGTTAGCAACACTTCCACCCTGTTTGTTACCATTAAATTTAACAGCTCTTGGCTTGACTTAAACGGGGTCTGAATTTTCCCAGTTTTTTTAATAGGTCGCCTGTAACTCCAAAGTGGGGTATTTTTGAGATTTGTTTCTATTTCTGCAAAAACTAAACTGATACATGGCTCTTCAGGATTAGCTAATGAATGGAACAAAGCAAAAATAAAATACTGGCAACCCCAGAACTAATGAAAATAAGTTTTCTTCATGTTTCCCCAACAAATATATCCTGAAAATATCCAGCAGTGGCAAAGACACCAGCTGTGGACAGGAGCAGGGATGTTCTTCCAAACTGCCAAACCAGTGCTGTTTTCTTTTCCACTGTGTAAACTTTGTCAACAAAACTGGTTCTGTGAGAGCCATTGAAAATATTTCACCATATTCCAAATGTGGCTGCCACAAATTAACTGCTAAAACTACAACAAGCACGTTTGAACTGGCAAATGGAGCTGGCACGCTGCTCTGTCAGGCTGCAATTGTGGTTGGAGGAAATGCAGCTCATCCCAAACACCCTTTTGTTACTGTGTCGTATTAACGTTTAAAAGACACCTTAATTAAGGTGGTGACAACAGAAGGGCTGAAATCCACGATTAAAATGGATGAGGAGACCAAAACTGCTGTGCCTGGGTGAGGCCAGGGAATCCTGGACATGGGATAACTGGGGTAAGTTGTCTGCTGTGCTGTGCTGTGCAGGCTCAGCAGCTGGAAATGATGGCCAGGGATGTGGATCTTACTGCACTGCTTCATTTACAGGGGGCATTTTAAATGTGAGTAGCTGGCTGTGGTTGTGGGATGGAGGGGAAAGCAGAGCTGTGCCCTCTGCAAATGTTTTGAGACCCCTCTTGGCATGAGGTGCAAACAGGCACAGCCCCCTCCGCAGCTTCACCTTGCCCCGGTGTTCCCAGTCAGCAGTTATGCAGACAGTGGTTTTGATTGTGCCCCCACATCTCTAGCTGAGAAAACCAACATAAAAACGGGGAACTCTCCCACTTGTTCAGCTGGTATAAGATTTTTGCAGATATAATCTCCCCATCTAGTACTCCTGTGCCATCAGAGCCCTCCTGCCTGTCAGCACAGCCTCCTGCAGAGCCCGTGCTCACTGTCCTGCAGTCTGGCATTTCACTGATTGTAATATTATAAATAGCCATGTGCCAGCACACGGAACGAGGCGAGCACATGGCTAATTACGGGTGTGCAGTAATTAACCAAGAGCTAAACTCGCAGGAGAGTATGTGGTGGTGGGCTATGAGGTATGTAATCAGACTGTTTGTTAAACCTTGGGAGCCTTTCCAGTCTGTTAAGTAACTATACATAGTAATGAGACAATTTTTTAAAAACCATTTATGTTTGTTTATGGACAGAAAAATAGTCTGTCTCTTTTCTGAGCTGTGGCTGAAGCCTGAGGTCTGACTGGTTCATTTTAGTGATGTGACAAAAGGTATGCACACAACTTGTGCTTGTCTGTGTGCATGAGATGATGGACTGGCTAAGCACTGTCTGTGTGAGAAGTTTGATGTTGTTCCCTGGGAACGTTGTGCCTAGTTTCACGTGTGTGCAGCAAAATACCATTTCTGCTCTTGTAGGTTTGAATGTTGTTTAGGGACACCTGTTCTGAGATCCTGCTGAGCTTTGTCTGACTGTCCTCCCTTGTCACTTTGTAACACTTGCCGGTTAGTTTTGGTTTGATTTTTCCTGGGGATGTTGTTCCAGTGGGACTCCAAAAAGCATCAGTGTGGCCCAGTGTAAGAACCGTGGGGCTCAGGCCCCTTTGCTGGGCTACCTCCCGTTAATTGCTCTTCTTCATTGCCCTGACAGCTGCTGCTGCCTGCTCTACACTACCAGCAATGAGGCCTCTCTAGAAAATGTCAAGAAGCCTACAGGGAAGTGAGATCAGGCTCTTTCAAATACATTTAAATTTGATACTTCTCTATACCTATCAAAGCTCTGTTAAGTAACTTGGTGCTAAAATACATTTATACAGGGGTTGTGCTCTGGTCTTTATCTGTAAGGGACATCTCATTCTCTTTGGGGACTGTGATGCTGTTGAGTGCAATGAAAACACATGGGATGTGCTGCTTTAAACCGATGTCTTCAGCTAGTAACACACAGTCTACATGTGGCAGAGAAAGATATAAGTGCCCCTTCCCTAATTCCTAGTTCAGTACAGCAATATGGTAGGAACAAAGTTAACCAAAATTCCTTCCTGGCTGTAGCTGTAATCTGTGTCCTGAACATGCCTGCTACTTGTCTGGTTCACACCTTCCAGAGCTACTGTTTTAGGATGTTTTCATTTTATTTCCGTGTGCTACCAGCACAGGAGCATTCAGGTGGGGAAATGCCAAGCAGAGGGCAGGGGGGACCATGTGGGTGTTTGGAGTGTGTGCAGTGCCAAATTCAACCCAGATGCTGAACAGAACTGAAGGGAGATGGCAGCTGAAGGAGTCTGTTCATTGTAAAAATACTTTTATGCCCTGACCATCAAAAGAGGTAAGGTTGGGTGGTTTGATTAGATCCAAGTTTACCTGATTTTATTAGGTGGATAAAAGTGGTCTATTTTTGAGTGTGCTCACAGCTGAAGTGTTTCACACCTGGACTGTTGTTGGTATTTGATCATTACAAGCAGTTTGAAAGGGACACTTATTTCCCAGGAACTGTATTCTTTTGAGTTTTTTTCAGTGATGATTCTAAGAGATGATTTAGTCTCATTAAATTTTAATCCCAGTGTAGCTCCGTGTGGCTTCAGTAGTCTCAGAGAGAACTGATGGTTCTCTCAGGGTCAGGAGAAAATAGGATTGCATTGTCTGTGCACAGAGGTTCTGTCTCCTGGGCTGTAATTGGCACATGTGGTCAATTATTGTCTTGAAACCCTTGCACCGAGAGCACAATCCCTCACTACCCTTGAGGAGCCGGTGGCTGTGCTGTCCCCAGCTCAGGCCACTGTGTCAATAATGCCAGCTCAGAAATCAAGGCTTGGGGTGGAAGGAGTGTGGAAGAGAGGAGAGCAGACAGGCCTGGCCAGAGCAGGATGGAGGTCACAGCTTCCAGGTGGTGTCTTTGTCTGGCAGTGCATTGACAGCAGCCAAATGCAGAGGGGTTCCCATGGACTGCAGTGACTTCAGCAGAGCCTGTTACGATGGAATCCCTCGCTGGGGTGCGAACCTGCAGGGAGGAGGGACATCCTGCTCACTCCTTAATTAACAGCCAGGGAGAGACTCCTGAAAATGTGGGTAAAAATCACTCCTCTACTTGTTGATTAAAACTTCTCTCTGTGTGTTGTTTCAGTTTTATTTTCTTTGAACGTGGCAAAGCCCTGACCTTTAAAAGCAGGAATTCAACCAAATGTATCTTTTTGGTTGCCTTAGAGTGAGCACAGTCTTTGTTTGCAATGATATTTTGTTGCACACAGCCTGATCTCCATCTCTTTCTTCCTTTGCAGCATCCCCTCAAACTCGTGTTCCTGTACAAGATGATGCAGTTCATGTCATTAAAGTGGTAATTGTAGCTCTCATTTCTAAATTATTAACTTGCATGCAGTTCTTTCTCTTAATTATCTATCCTTGTTTGCAGCATTGGGTCTGTATTGCATGCTTGTGGTTTTTTTGTTGGTTTTTTTTTAATATACTTTCTCTGCTTGGGGATATATTTGGCATTTCCATGACACACAGTATTTTCTGGATTTGATTCTCTCTTTTCCTTGATTGCAGCTCTTAACAATTTAGTCAGGAAAATTAGACTATGATCTTAGACACACCTGATCTACAATATTTCTGAAAATAGTGTCTTAAACAATGCCTGAAAGAATCTATGTTGTTTATGAAAATGTGTTGCCAAACAACTTTTTAGCCACTTATTAAAATTGCATTTCAGATGGCATGGATGTGGGGGAAAAAGGGATTTCATCCTCTTGGAATTTCTTACATGCTTTGCTTTAGAAATAGTTGTCTTTCTAATGCCTTTTAGGATACCAAGTTTACTTATTTCTCAACAGGAATATCTTGAAAATGGCCCCTTATTTTCTGAGCTGAAATTTTACCAGAGGGCTGCAAAACAAGAGCACAGTAAGTAATGTGTCAATTCTGATTCAAGTGGATTTGAGGACAAGTTTGGATTTGAGTAATTCTAATAAGAACTGTTGCTTTAGAGCTTCCCAGCCGAGTCATTTCATATCCACTGAACTAATCCTAGCTGGTGCTGCAGTATTTCTAGGTGGCTGTAGTTTTGTTACTTGGGTGCTATCCTTGTTCTTTCTGATCTGAAGGGAGAACAGGAGCCAGATTTATTTTGTGCACAACAATGAATGGGCTCCAGAGCCAGCCCAGCCTTGGAGCAGAACAAAACACACCAAACCTGCAGTTCCCGAGCTACCTTTAACCCCATGTTATCTTATTATTGCAGTAAGAAAATGGATGAGTCTCAAAAAAATAAGATGCTTAGGAATTCCAGTGTTTTGGGGATCAGGCTTGGCTGAGTACAAAGGAAAAAGGTAATAAGACAAATTGTAATTAAGCCTCACATTGACTGAAGATCCATTTTCAAAACTGGAGATGAAGTCCTTTCAATCTGGCACAAACTCGCAGTCTTGTCCTAAAGGATTCCTCCCTTTCATGTCTGTCCTGGTAGTTATAGATTCATGGTCATGGAGAGACTGGGGGAAGACCTGCAGAGAATCTTTCAAGACTGTGGGAGCAGATTTAAGAAGGAGACTGTTCTGCAACTTGGGGCACGAATGGTACGTACAGAGAGAGGGAACTGCTGAGTTCAGCTGGAGAATTGTCTTTCCAATACAGTTCCCTTAGGTGGCTCTTGAGGTTAGAATTCAACATGTGTTAACACTATGTATTTTCTTATTTTTCATATTTTTAAAATAAAATGACTATTTAGTAGAAAAATCAAGACCCTTTCGTAGAAAATCAAGACTGGAATTTGGGGAGCTCAACCCAAACGTTTTTTCTAATAGATGAAAACACAGGCCATGCGCTTCAGGCCACAAGACTGAGATGTATAAGCCTGTTCTCTTGTGCCTCAGCACATACTGATTTATTTTTTCAGTGTCTGAGGGGTATTGTATTAGACATCCATATTTGCCAGAGCTCATTGCATGCCTGGATGCCACATTCTCGGTGTGTTTGCTGATTGTACAGACCAGGGTTGGGCTGGTCTGCAAACACCAGTTTTGTTTCCAGGTGTGTGTGGGTGGGCACATTGTAGCAGCAGATTGTGAGTGTGCTCCTCTGTGATGGGAGCTGTGCTGGGACAGACTGGGACATCTTGCTGTTCCTGAGCACAGTGAGGCAATGGCCACAAGTTCCAGGAACAGGAACTCTGAGTATAAAGGGAAAGTTTTTTTGCACAAAGAGTCTTATCACTGGAATGTGCTTCCCAGAGGCTGTGGAACACCCATTCATCCATCTTGTACAGCCTCATCTAATTTGTGTTACTCCTGCTTTTGAAGGAGGGGTTTAGGCTGGACACATCCAAAGCTTCCTTTTAAACTAAATAACAATACTAAAAAGAAAAAGTGAAGGGCTTTCATAATCACATAATGGACAACCTTGTGACACTTAAGAACTCCCAAAAGTCAGGATTAGATTGTCCTTTGTATCAGCTGCAAAGTACAAATGTGTTTTTTAGTAATAATAATAATTAGAGCTATTGTACCTCAGTGAGGAGCTGAAGAAGGATGAGTTTTATTCCAAACCTTCAGAACTGATTGATTATGTTCTTTTCAAGAGCTTGGTGTTCTCAGCACCTGCTCTGGTGTTTATAAAGTACTGATTTCCTTCTTGCTTTGTGGGCTTAGAGGCTGGTACTCACAGGCAGTTACAGAGGGACACCTCATGGAAAAGTATGGCTTGTTTAGCTCTTTGCTGGTGGCAAATCCTGGTGGGAACAGACCCTGTGACAGACTGGACAGTCCCTGTGCTCCAGCTCCAACCAAATTTGCCAGCTCAGTCTGTGTAGCCCTTGATTTGACTGCAGAAATAAGGCATAATTCCTGATAGGCTTAAGGGTGAAGTGGCAAAGATGATGATGATGTTTTTCCCTCTGTTCTACACTCCTTCCTAGCTGGATACCTTGGAATACATCCATGAAAACGAGTATGTCCACGGAGACATTAAAGCAGCAAATCTGCTTTTGGGCTACACCAACCCCCACGAGGTAAGCATGGTTACTCATCTGCCCTTCAGTGTTTTAGAACCAGTTACAACTCTTAAGTTCTGCAGTAACAATTCCTGTGTTGGAAGGAGTTTGTGCATGAACAGTCACATCCTGTCATGACCAATCTGACAGTGGCTCTGTGCAGCTTGAGGCCTGAGAAAGCAGCAGGACCAAACTCTGCTGTGTTCCCTTTGTGTTCTGCTGCCTGGGACACTGGTGTGGAGGGGGAACTGAGGTGGGTAAGTTGTAGGATGTAATTGCTGCTCTGGGCTATGCCAGTTGAAGTGTTTCAGTAGAGATTAAAGGTGTGACCCATTGCATTTTCCTTCTTGGGAACTTCCAGCTTCGTGATATTGCCACAACTTGTGTTTCACTCCACGTGTTCTTCAGTTAATAAAACATAAGTATGCTTTTTTATTGGGGAAAAAAATCATTTAGGGAAAAAGGACATCTCTCTCTTCACTTCAGTATAATTAGCTGTAAGCAATACTTCTCCTTGCAGTTTTTGTGTCTGCTGCAGTGACAAAGAAGCTGCTCCTGCAAACACCTCCCTGCCACTGGAGTTGAACCGTTCAGGGATTTCTGCTCTTTTGAAAAGTTTCAAGTGAAATGGCTGAGTCCAGTTTAAGTTTTCAGCTTTGTGAAACACACCACTCGCAAACTAGCAGGGCTGTTTAAGGCAGCCCTGGTTTTACGCAGTGGCAGCCAGTCCATAATCTCAGTTTATGGTGTTTACCAGCCTGCTGAATCCAGAGGAGGAGGCTCTTTGGAGGCAAAACGATCTGCTGCCCATTAACACAACTCAAATGACTTTTTTTTTGTCTTGGCTATTGTGTTTGGTTTTTTTATGACAGCAAGATATGCTGCTGTTTTCCACACTGAAATAATTTTGTGTCCATTTACAATAATCATGAAATTTTAAGACTTGTAGCTGCCTTTGAATTGGCCAGGGGGGTGATTTTCTGATTTGTTTCTCGTGTTCTCCGTATGGAGATTGTGCTGTATTAGTAATTGGTTTTAATGATTAGTAAATTCACTGACAGGTTAAAAATAAGGTACTTGTGAGTTAGTGGACAGAGGTTTTAAGGTTGATTTTTTAGGTTTTGTTAAATAAATCAATAGATATTCCAGTTTGAGTAGCTTCTAACTCAACGTGTGCGAATTATGTGTTATAGTTGGGAGGTTTTGTGTAGAATTTAGTTTCAGCAGAATTAATTTTCCACTGAAATCATTCTATAAAAACATGGTAGAAAGTTCACCTTCTAATTCAGAAGAGCTGACAGGAGACAGTTTCTAATATTTGCTTGCATTTCTATGCTATGAATTAGACTTTATTACACTGTACGTGTAAGAAAATGCCTGGGAAGTGTTTTGTCCAACCCTCTCTCTCTGCCAGCACAGTGGATAATGGTCTTGCTTTTTTCTTGAAAAAATGATGAAGTGATCAACCTGATCTCATAAACAGGGAGTGAGAGCATCAGCCAGTGGCCAACTCCAGCCCAGGAACATAAGCCTGTGGCTCCAGTGGGAGCTGGTGTAATAAAACTGTCTACCTGACAATTTCTGTGCTGAAGTTTGTTGACACAATTTTATGCTGGGGGTTCTTGCTCTTTGTGGGACTAGGGTTTTAAGAGAAAATAAATTGTAAGTGTTCTTTAATTCTAGAGATTTGTTTTTGAAACAAACCCATAACTTACCTCTTAAAAATAATATATATCTCTATTCAAGACGTATTTCCATATTCTGGTGAAGAAACATAAATCTCTGTTCAGAAAAGCACACGTACCTTTATACTCAACTTTGCATTTTCCTGTCATTTAGTGGCTGTTGATGTGCATTCCAACGTGTGAATTTGTCACCGGCTTCCTGCAGTTCCAAAAAAGATAATTTTTCTAGTTTAGACTCCGTGCTGCTGCTCTCTCTCTCTCTTCTGTAAATTAACCTGGTGAATTTACAGCACAGCCCATAAATTACAGCCCGAGTGAAGCGCTGGCTCAGGGCTGGGCCCAGGGAAAGGGAATTTAGGTTGGAGCAGGGACTGTTCGTGTGATGCAGCAGAAATAACTATTACTGATAGCGCCTCTCAAATCCATTAAGCTCATTTAAATGGTTATACTATTAAAAGGGACAAGTGGTCACTAGACAGGAGCTTAAAGCTAAGTTTTAAATAAATGAAATAAAGTTCAGGAGAACACCTCTTCAAAACAATCACCCTGTAGTATTTCTCCCCTATGCAATACATGGGCAGACATCCTACAGTGTTGCAGACTCAAGTCTATTCCAGAAGTTGCCTATTTGGATTTTTAAGTTCACACCTCAGTTCTGATTTTAATTTTAAGCGTCTCTTAGACAAGTTAGTTACAGAATAGAGCTCTCAGACTTGATTAGCATAGATAGAATAAAAAATTAGTTCAAAATATAACTTTTAAGACCAGCCCAGGAAATACAGAGATCATGCATGACACTTGCATGAAAACTACTCCAACTTTGAGCTGTTTGTCCCTGTGAGAAGAATCATTGTGATTCCTGCTCTTTAGCCCAGTCTGACAGACTTGTTAAAGAGCAGATGAAATGAGAAAAAGGAAAAGCTTTTCTGTTCTCCTTCAGGTGTTTTTAGGAAGGCCATGGAAGGCAGAGACACCCTGTACCCCTTTCCCTCTCTCTTTGTCCATCTGCTTTCCTCCCTCCTTGGCTTCTGGCTTGTGAGAGATGCTATTTCTGTCCCAAACACTGAACTTCACCTTTCTCATCCCAAAATGGGCTTCATCTGCCTTTACCCTTTTTGGAGTAGTGTCCAACTGAGCTTGACAGCACTGTGGCCATTAGCAACCAATCTGTCTCTGATTAGTAGATATCTACTTAATTATTTACAGACATGACACAAGCCTGGTAATGGAACCACTGGAAAGAAAATGTCCAGAGAAAATCACTGTACTGTCATCCTTTCAGCAATAACTATTTCCAGGACTGGAAAACAAGAGAGTGAGTGGGAAGGAGTGTCCAGTGTAACAGCCAAACCCAGCTGGGCCCTGCTATTGTCCCTGCTGCACCTTCACCATCCCCATTCCTTATTCCACTGCCTTGTTTATCTTGCTCTGCTCTGGTTTGTTCTCTTTTTGTTCTTATTTGTTTTGTTGTTCCTATAAAAAGCATGCAGGTGAAAAATATTTGTGGTATCAAAACACATACTAACCCTGGCTTGATTTTTCTCAATATTCCTCATTATTCATCTGCTTTTCCCCATCCCTATACCCTAAAAAAACCTGCAGCAACTCTACATTCATTACCTACCTCTGCTGTGTTCTGAGCAAATTTGGAAGGGCACAAAGTGTTACATTATCAAAAAGTGACAACCAGCTATAAAGAACTATATATCTCTGTAATGATGAAAGGGTTATAATGAGAATTGATGAAACGAAATTAATGGTAATTTAAAATAACACAGTCATTGGGATAATGGCCGTGGCAAGGTTGTAACGGGGCAGTGCTGGTTTGGTACAAGCTCAAGGGGATTGATTTTTGGGGGTGGCCAGGAGGCTTTTGTCACATATTTGTGGCAAAACTATTTCTCACTTTCGGGGGGGGGGGTTTCAGTATAAATTGAAAATCTCTCTACTGGTACTACTCCTGAAGGTATTTTAAGCAAATGCATTGCTTAAAAATGGAGTACTTAACGGAGTTGCTTTAAAAGAAAGAGTTCATAGTTACTGTGATTTTTCTCTGTGATTCTATGATTTTTATTTATTTTTTTCTGCATGCTTCAAATCTGACTGGCAAATCTTTGTGGCTCCTTCCTAGCTGGCCTGTTGTTGAGGCAGTTTGAAAGAGCACCAGGCTGGGCTGTCACGTGGGAGTGTCTGTGACATCAGCCCAAAGCAGAGAGCTGCCAGAGGTGCTTGGGGTATATTTTCCCCCTCATTTTAATAGAAGGCTTAGCCTTAATTCTTAATTGTTTTATCTTCCTCTGGCCAAGGTAAATCCAAAGTCCAGCAGTTAGCCTGAGAAGAATATCCCTTCTAGGCTCCCCTCTCCGTCACAGCCCACAGAGGATGCAGAAGCCTCCCAAAACCTGCTCTCAGTGTGGCTGAAGTTAGCTGTGTGCCTAACTGACTGTGGGCTCAATCAGCACAGGTACCAGAGCTCCAGGAACACTCTGCAGAACAGATGCAGCACAAAATCAAACCAGTCAACCCAACAGGGTTTATACCTTGTCCCAGATTTTCTGAAGGTGCCTCCGGCCTTTCGTGTTGTCTCCCGGTTGGTGTGGTCTGTCAGGTGAAACACATCCCGGATCATCCCAAAGGCCTCTCCCTGCAGGAAGTGAGCGCTGCATCCCGGCTCTCACGCCCCAGATCAGCTCAGATGCTGCAGCAGAAGCTGTAAAACCAAGAGAGCAGCAATCCCAGCACTGGGAGCTGCCTGGAGCACAAACAGGAATGGGCAGTTCAACACAACGTGCTACTAACCTTGAGTTTTCTTGAGGGTTGATTGGTTGGTGGTTTTGCCTCTTCCAGGGGTGACATAATTAAATTACAACTAAGGGACAGATGAGTTTTAGACTTTTATAGCATAAACTGGTTTTTAGGTAAAGAGGAAACAAAGCTAAGGTTCAACTAAGAACAAGGTTTTTCTTTATCATATAATAAGATTTAGTAGAAGTGATCTCTATGTGCCTTCAGATGATTTAGCTTTTGCCCCAGAAATCAGCTCCACGGGCAATATAAATGTCTGCAGCATTATTTTTTTTAAGAGAAAATCCTATCCTTGGATAATTATTTTAAAACGCCATTGCCTATTGTGAGAAGTGGTCAGTGTAAAGGGCAAAGGCCAGGTGGGAATGTGGAAATGACTGAGAAAATAACCCATGGAATACTGGGGTGGACAGACTGTGATTACATTCCAGCTGCTTTCAACAAGTTCCTTCCTGTGAGCTGTGCTGCAGCGACTGCCCATGTGCAGGCATTAAGTCCAGCCCTGATGGAGGGTGGAACACGTTAATCTAAAGTTCCCGGGGTGGGTCTGTGCCCTTCATGTAAATTGTGTGAGTGGCAGAGGGGATGCAGCGCTGGGTGCCCTGTGCCCATAGAGAAACGCAGGTGGAGGAGCCTCGTGGCACGTTCATTTTGTCTTGAGGGGCAGCAGCAGAACACAAAGTAGAGCTCAGCTCTCTCGAGCTGTTCTTTTCCAGCTTCAGATGCCCTGAAAGGCAAGGGGCAGTTTCAGTCACTTCACGCTTTCCCAGGGAAGTCCCTGTGGTCCCTGCCAGGCTGGAGCTCCGTGCCCAGCGCAGCTGGGGAAGCTGCTGCCCCTTCCTCTGGCTTCGAGGTGGCCCAGAAGAAGAGCAGAGCTGAGTTTGGGCAGTCTCAGCTGCTGCAGAAGCCGAGCAGGGCTCTGTGTCTGTGCTTGCCTGAGGAAGGACAGGAAGGGGGCCCACAAGCAACGTGAGGCTGCATAAAAGGCATATTGCAGTTTATGATGTCTGCATGCCCACCTGGAGAGCAGAGAGCTTAGGAACAAAATAAAACGACTGGAATTCCGCTCCACTCTGGAATAAGAGACGAGAATAGCAGTGGAAGGATTTAAATGGGGAGGGCAGCTGTTATAGCCCCCAGTTGTACATATTTTATCCTGAGGCACCATTTGGTTTAATAAAATTTAGATCTAAGGCTGTCCTTAACCTATCAGTTTCTTAAGACTTAATTATAAAGGTTATACTTTCAAAGGACAAAAGCATTATTCATTTGTCTGTTCATGTCTTCCAGGTTTATCTTGCAGATTATGGACTTGCCTACAGATATTGTCCCAATGGGAACCACAAACAGTATCAGGAAAATCCTAGGAAGGGCCATAATGGGACAATAGAGTTTACCAGCATAGATGCCCACAAGGGAGTAGGTAGGTCTCTTTTTTTATTTCAGATGAGTGGTTCCAGAATGAGTAATCAGGCCGTGGGAGCTGATGGACAGTCTGGGGATTGCTCTGCCCCTCGTGTGGTGACCTCCTCCTGTTCCTGGGAATGTTTCTCCAGGGCTGGGAGGGAAGGAGGGTGGCAGGATGGACCCTGAGAAGAGCTGACCATTACAGTGAATTGGTCCGTGTTGGGAGCACTGGGTGGGGTTTGCTGCACTGTTTGCTAATGTTGCACTGGGAAGGAAAAACGTTTGGAGTGTGCACTGTCCTTTAGGGAGAGCTGTGCCTGAGTGTCACCATCTGTGTTAGGGGAGGATATTTGGAGGATGACATTCCTTCTGCAAGGAGAAAAACCTTTTCTGAAGCCATAAAGCGTTAACTTTTTGAAATCTTTTTCCAGTAGCCTTTCATATATCTTACTTATTTAAACTCACTTTGATGGTATTGGAAACACATTTGCAGGTAAATTACATACATAGTCCTTTTTATTGGATATTGATTGTACTGCCTTGCATTCCAAGGCAGACTTAATTCAACAATTCCCTAATTAGTTAAAGTCATAACCTATGTCTTGTATTCATTTACCATTAATTAAACCTTAGCTGTTTATTACACTGCAGTCCAAATCCAATAGCAGACCCATGGAGCCATGGAAAAGGGACTGGGAGGTCAATATTGAAAATATATGGTGTGAAGTCCCACTGATGGCTGCATTGTTCACAATCAATATGGTCAATGCAACACAACTTTCTTAGTTGCTATGTCAGCAAGACAAAAAGTCAATTCTAATGTTATGCTAGTGAAAAAAATGGTCATTATTGAAAAACTTGGACTCTTGCTATGAAAGTGTGGTTTTGTTAACTTTTCTTTCCCCTCTCCCCCCCCGAAGATCTTCTAAAAAAGGACGGGTTTGGTGCTGCCAGCCTGGCACGAGGGAGAAGTGCAGAAATCTGTGCTTGTTAATAGCTGCTGTGAACTGTTCCCTTAAACTGATACTTTCTAACGAGTTTTAGTTGGCACAAACAACTGTATATTATTGCTTTTTCTATTAAAAGGCCCATTGACCATGTAATGTAGAGGGGCCTGATAATTTGCCGGAGCTGTTAAAACCTGCAATCGTTTAACTCTGGTCATTAGGAAAAATGAAATAAGACTGGCAAGTATTTCCTGCTGAGACAATTGCACCTTTTCACCTGCTGAAAAGTATTTTGCGCTGAGGAGGGAGGGATCTGCTCTGGGCCCTGCCAAGCACACGGGGGTGTTCTCTGGAGCTCTGACTCTGCTTTGCCTCCACACCCGACACCAGTGCACAGCCACAGTGCTGAGCACTGTGGCTGTGCACTGGTGTCGGGTGTGGAGGCAGTTGAGGAACAGGTGGAAGCTGGAGTGTTTGGGATTTGGCAGTTGGATGGTTCTAACATCCAGTTTGGTAGCGCCTGGTCACGGTGTGTGATCACAGGACAGGTAATTCCTTTGGTTTGAGAGCGCAGGGAAATCTCACAGACGTGGGTGCAGGTGGAAGTGGGAGGTAAGCTGTGCAATCTGCGCCTTAGATAAACCCCCTCACGTGGCTCAAGCCAGGATGGAACTGGTTACAAGTGGAGGACTCCAGAAACCAAAAGAGAGTTAATTTTCATCCCAGTAGCTGGGTCTTTCCTGCATTTTATTCCCCTCTCTCTTTGTTGTCTGCCTTTTAATTACTATTTTTTGAACTTTAGTTCACGTATTAAACTGTACTTATCTCAACCCCTCAATTTTCCCTTTTTTTCCCCAATTTCCCTTCCTATCCCACCAGTGGCTGTGTGGTGCTTTATCTGCTGGCTGGGGGTTAAACCACGACAAGTAGCCTGAACCCGTTGAGGTCAAATTCCCAGTTTTCCCATTTGCAGCAGATCTCTCAACATCCCAGGGAAAAGGTGCATCTGCAGCCACTTCTGCTGGGGAGTGCACAGGCCCAGAGAGCAGAACACAGTGACTGGTTCCCCTCATCCCTTCTTGTGAGGTTTAGAGTTGTGGAGAAGTTTCAGGACATTCAGGTGTTCTCCTGAAAAGTGTTTCGCCACTGTTGGCAAATAAGAGCTGCACGGTCAGCCCTGATTCTGGTGGTACCCAGCTTTTCACAGTGGAGTGGTTTTTCATTTCGGTGCTCTAGGAATGTAGTTCTAATTTTTAAATGTTATTTTATATAAATGAGATCCTTTCCAGAGGGCATTTCCCAAAAGTGTGTAGCAACATAAGTATCTCAGCCCCCCTGAGCAGCACTGAGCCAGACAAATGAGCACATTTTGACTTGCTCATGAAGCAGCTACTGAATATATACAGGAATTTGAGGTACATGCTGAAACTTTAATAAAATTATGAATTTGTTGCTTTCAGAAGTGCCTCTTGGCAATGCTTGGAGCTGCATAAAGCCAGTGTCTGGTGGCAGGATCCCATCCCAGCCAGTGTGTGGGTGTTTTAAACTGCAACCCTGTTTATTTTGATGCAAATTTCCTGTAGCACAACTGCCTTGATAGTTTGAGCATAGTTGGAGTGTATTCACCGGATCCATTTTTAAAGACCGTGCTGTATAAACAGTGTTACACTTTGGCTTGTTGATTGATAATTAAAGAGAATTATAACGGTACCCAGTGTACATTTAAAAAATTGTTACATAGTTAGTGTTAAAAAGTAATATTTGGATCAATGGCTGCGATGGATTTTTGCAGATTCCCTGCTCACTGAGGCGTGCAGTCAATACCTCATTTCTCTGGAGATGCACCACGCTTAACATATTGAGGCCTTTTAAATACTCCAGGCCCGGGCACTGAGTGTGTAAGACCAGTTTTAATTTGCTACCATTGATGAACATAAGAGTATGAACTGTCTGTGCTGAATTCCCTCCAGCAGATATTTGTGTTTGCCATCGATTCAGAGGTGATTCTGCTCCTCCTCCTCAGTGTTTCACAGTGACTGTGCAGGGTTGCCACCTACCCCATCTGGTGCTCCACCAAATCCAGGCAGGACCTGTATCTACACCTGGAACAGCAAAGCTGCTTCACTCAGCATTCCATCAGAAGGCTTGGACACTGTTTGTCCAGGGCAGTGCTGGCTCTGGGTGAGGGCAGGGAAAGCTCTGCAGTTCTGCCTCTTCTCCCCCTGCTCTGACAGAGCTGCTGCTGTTTGATATGAAAAACACTGCTCTGCCTGGCCACTGTTCCTGTTCTGTTCCATGCAAGGGTTGACTGGAATATATGCAGGGTTCATTTGGTGAGGGAGGATGTGCAGGAATATAAACACCTATGGAAACACATTCCTTCTGAGCCTGCTTCCAGAGAACAGAGCTCTAAATGGCTCTGGATCAAGAGGTTTATTTGGCACCTGTCCATGCATAGTTAGGATTCACAGGGAGCCTGCAGGATTTTTTTTTTGTTGTTGGTCAAATGAATTATTGATTTGCTGCAGTTTGATATGTGTTTCCCAAAGACTGTGTGCAGGACAAACTGTAAATCCTAAATAATAAAAGGAAAATATAACCGGTCTGGCGAAAAATGGGTGGAACTTTACAGTGGGACATAAATAAAGAGATGGTTTAGTTCCTGGGAGTTGGATTAGAAGTGTGTGCCCAGCACAAGAAAGAGCAGGAGGTGGCTGTAAGGGAAAGAAGAGTCAGGTGGATAGGTTCCTACAACCACCTCTCCATCTTGTTCTGTCCTGCCAGGAATGTCCAGAAGCAGCAAAAATAAGAGGAGTGTTACAACTTTCTGTCGTGGCTGGGAAGGAGCTGTTTAATTTTGGCTGTTCTCCACAGTAGGACTGGAGAGACGTGTTCCCCCTCACCTGCTTATCAGGCCCTCACCTTTGTGACTCTCTTTTTCTGCCACACAGATGTGAGAGAAGAGTAAAACTCCCCGTCCCCTCTCCTGCCACCCGTTCTCCTCACTGCAAGCTTGGAACCTTTTGCTCCCGACCAGGTACCTCCTCTCCTGCCACCACCATTTTCTCTCCCACCCACACCTCGTGGTGAACTTCCCTTGCATCTTCCATCGTCCCCACTGGATCAGGACCCCAGCCCTCTTCCTTTCAGCCCATCTCATTCCAGCAGTCCTGCTCATTCCCTCGTGCCAGCTCTGCTCCATGAGCCATGCGCTGTGGAGCTGTGGGATCCCAGCTTAGGAGAGAGGCCGTGGCTGGCACAGGAGAAGTCTCTGTGTGCCCTGTGGGATTGCTGTGCTCCAGCTGAGCTGATGCCATGCCTGCACTGGGTTTGCCTTCCAGCATTCCCTGCTGGTGGTGATCGTCAGGGAGTGCTTCTCCAGCGTGCCGAGCTGAGGGTGCAGGGCTGCACACAAGGACGGGAGGGATTGTTCCCAGCTGGCACCTGCCCTGCCTGAGACTGGCTGACTCCAGAATGGCTTCCAAGCACCATAACGTGTTGTAAATGTGTCTGTATTTCTCTGAGCTTTCCCCTGTAGCCGCCCACCAGCAGTTGGTCACAGTGAGCTGCTCAGGCTGACCAGGACCTGGAGCGAGTGGTACTTAACTATCACCTGTTTTGTTTGTTTCCTTTCTCCTGCCCCTAACAGAGTCTCTGATTTTTGGCAAGTCTTGTATTTGCCTGGTTTTTTAATCACCTCAGCCTTGAGTCCTGTCACTTGGGGATGATACATTTTTATCTGAGTTATATTTCACCCTCCTTTCCTTCCTGGGGGCACGGTTACGGTGTGAGGTGTGTCTGTGGGGTTTGTGGTGTGTGCTGCCACTGAGAATGGAGCTGCCCCTGCACGAGGATGAAACATGAGCGACCAAAATGAACCTTTTGATGAAAAGCTTCTGATTGGAAAAATCACTAATAGTGAAATTGTAACATAACAGTGCTAATTAACAATGAGCAGAGCATTTCATCTGCCACTCCTTGGCCTCCCAGATCTTTACAAAAGGCTTGAGAAAAGCAGCTAAATAGGGGCTGTGGAGGAAAACTCCCATTTTTATGTGGGTTTCAGGTGAGTTCTTGGGAGCAGTTTAGTTTTCAAAGCGTATTGTGGCTGCTGCGATATCGTTTATGATCTATTTTGAAATAATAATCTGAATATAATTTAGAGCTCAGGTAGTTATAAATCCAGTGTATTTTCTTCTCAGGGTGAATTGCTTCACTTTTATTCTGAGGTATTTTAGAACCCCTTGCCTGTGTGTTGGGTGTGTTTGTGGTGCACATAAAACTCTGATTTCAGTGATGTGGTTGTGAGTTCGTTAATTTTGGTGGAGTTGGTCCTGATTTATCTTGGCAGGACCGAGGACAGAATCAGACCTTAACTCCTTAAATTAAAAAATTAAACTCTAAAATTATTGTGACATAAAATACCACCAATATGTTCCCATTAAATTGTATCTCATGAGACTAAAATAATACTCAAAAATTCCTGTGAGTAGAAAAGCAGAAATCAAACATCTACAAGAAACAGAAGGGAAAAAAAACCCCACCAGCAAGTTTTTAGTCTGCAGAGAAGAGAATTTGATTTAAATAAGCCCTGTTTTGAGTGTACACTCCCATAACAGTGACAAGTTATCAAGCAGAATTGTTTTATTTTTGCCTGGCTGTCGTATTTAAAATGAAGGCAGATTGATTTCTCTCTGTTGATGTTTATCAAGAATTCCTGTAATCTTCAATTGTGTGAGCAGATTTATTTTTCCAAGTAAACATATCATTGAAATTTATCTATTTGCAGTGAAAATCTAATAATTCCATTGTTCACAGACAATATTAATTCATTAAAGATTAGCCAAATACTTTTTAACAAGAATGTAAATGATTTAAAAAGTTGAGGAATTTAGTGTATGGTGAGCTGGTGATGGAGCAGAGAGAAACAAGCCCAGGCAAAGAATCCAAGGCTGACACTTCCATGTGGTTCTGTGACACACACATGGAAATGTCTTTATTTAGCAGCTCTTGTGGTGACCTGGGAGATGAAGGATGTGGGAATTTGTGCCTGTGAAACATTTCCCCTGGCCTTTCTGGGGGTTTGGTTGAGCTGCACATACCTGTCTGTCCTGTGGCTTTGGGCAGGGGTTGTCCGAGGCTGCCTCGCTCCCAGCTCCTGCTCTGGGCTGCCTTTGTCCTGGGCTTGGTCAGGAAGGGCTGGAGGAGCTGCAGGTGAGGAGAAGCTCGTTAGTCACGGCCAAACTGTTCACTGTGACGTCAGCTTTAGTCTCTGGGGTGCGTTTTGGTGAGAAAATGAGTTATTTTGGGTCGCCTTGCTGACTGGCTTGGGGTTATTTACAGATGCACAGCAGTTAATCCCCTGTGGGGAAAAGCCATCCATGGTAATTCTGACAATTTTCCTCAAAGGGCCACTTCCTGTAGCCCCTCTTACACAAGCAGGTGCCAGAACAGCCCTGTGTGAAAAGGAGGGGCTCTGCCCCTCAAAACCTCTGGCTTATATGGATATAATCTGGAATTGCCATAATGGAAAAAGGAGTTGTGAACACATGTGTATGAATGGAATTGTTCCACAGTTAAGGGGAGATTTATGGCTGGAGAAATCACTACAGAGCAGCAAGTGGTGGAGATTGTGTTTTTATTTTAATATGGGAGCCAAGTCTTGCATTAGGACGGTGCTGAATCCAGGGCAGAAAATAAACGGTGCCCAAGGGACAGAGTGGAGTTGTGTGGGATCCAGGGCCTTCAATAATCCTGGCCTAAGAGCAGTTAAGATAGGGAAGGTATAAAAACTAATCTGGTGCTCTTACAATGACGTGTGGAGGGTAACAAGGTGCAGTTATGATGTGTTGGCACCGCAGCTTTTAGCAGATGACTCCTTAAATTAAAAGATAAGTTTGCTGAGTGACTTTCTGGAATTTATTTAATGAAGGCCCATAAAATATGATATCTGTTTACAGCTGGATTAGCAGCACAGTGCTCAGCTACCGGGCTTTACAGTGGATAGAAAGCACCAAACAAGCCTGAACTCTTCTTCCCTTCCTGGAAAGCACAAACCCATTTTGGAAAAGCATAAATTTAACTTGTGCACGTGTCTGTCTTTAATCACGACGAGCAGTTCCTGGCTCTGACATGCAAACTGCACAGAGCAATCCTGCAGTGTTCCTGCTTGTTCAGTTTTTTAGAGTTTGGTTTCCTCTGAGTAGCAGCAAAGTAGTAGCAATTCTATGACTATTGCACTGTTTCCACCTCTTTCTCCTGGAAAAGTCAGTCCACGGATTAACTCCAGTTACCTGTTTCCCTGTGTAGACGATGCCGGGGTTAATTTTGGTTGAATTTATCTCCTGCACTTGCGTCCTGCTGGGGGTGAGCAGAGTGGCAGTGAGTTGTTCCCGGATAACTTCCCTTTTGGAAGCAGCGGTGGGAGGCTCACCCAGGACCTGGCTGCTCAGCCGGTGCATTTTGGGTTGTGCTCCAAAGTAGCCGAGGCTTCCCGGGGCCGGAGCCGCGGGCTCGGCGAGTCAGTGCTCACTAGATGGCACTTTTGTCCCAGCATCCGAGTTCAAACGGCTCCGCGGGAGAACAGGAAAGGCCATCAGTGTTTAGTCTGCTCTCACGGAGTCCCCGCATGACCAATGTGGACCCCATGGACTTCCTGGAACATGTGTTAGCAATTTAGCAGCAGACATTTATTTCTTTGTTTTACTGCTTGGCTCTTTGAGAAAGTGTTGGTGCTCGGTTATGGGCTGTCTGGATCATGTCAGAGGCCATGGGGATCAAGTCCCTGTGACAGGCCAGACTGAGGAAGGATGGAGGTGGAGGAGGTGAGGAAGCTGACCCTCTCTCCAGCAGTAACAAGTCGCTGCCTGTCTGTGGCCTCTGGCCAAGTGCCGGGGCGGGTTGGGGCTGGTACAGCTGAACAAACAAAACACTTTGCCCAGTTGGCTTTTTCATATTTCATCAGCACCAGTTCAATCAAAGTCTTTCTATTTCTTAAGACGAGGTTCTTATTCTTAATTGTATTTTCTTTTCTCTTCCCCCCTCCTTTCCCACATTTTAGCCCCGTCCAGAAGAGGTGATCTTGAAATCCTTGGCTACTGCATGCTGCAATGGCTCTGTGGGAAGCTGCCCTGGGAGCACAACCTGAAGGACCCTGTGGCTGTCCAGGCTGCCAAAACCAAGTAAAAAAAAAAAAACCCACTCGTGTACACACCCCACCCTGTAACCCTGCAGCATCCCCAGCACTCCACAGGTCTGCAAAAGGCAGCTCTCCACGCTGTACAGCACCTTAGGAGAAAGCTCAAACAATTTTCCTTAATTAAGAGAGATGGTGGAAGCAGTTAAAATGTGAACTTTATGTGCATGTCTCCCCTCCTCTGCATGTTTATGTCTGTGCTGCTGCAGAGAGAGGATGAATTCCAGTGCACAGTACACAGGCATTTTGTCTGCTCTGTATTTTTCCAATACTCTTTTTTTTTCAAAGAAAACATTTGTAAATGAGCCCAGGCCCTGGTCTGCACATACAGAAGGTTGTTGTGTGTTCCCATTAAACTGCACGGGTGCTTTGTAGGTTCTGTAGGACAAACATCTCTTGGAGGTTTCTCCACACGTGCATTCAATTTCTTTCACTTTCTCTATGATCCTATTTTTCAGCTGGTTTTCTGTAGGTTTTTAATGTTATATAAGCCTAATGCCATCACAAACAATGAGATACCAAAACACCGAGGAACTCGGTGAAAATCTTTCCTCCTCTCCCCAGCATGACTCACTCAGAGCTCACTGAAGCAGCAGAGTGTGGTGGTGTTTTCTTCCTCTGCCTTCACAGCTGGGGCTTGAGAGAGTTAATTGCAGCGGCACCTGGAGCCTGTAGTTACCCAGAAATGGAACATCACAATTGCAGGAGGCAGCAAACTTTTAAGTAGGGCAAGTCACAACAGAGGTGCACAATGGGGATGGCTGATGGTGGAAATCAATGGGCACGTTCCGTGTGGCTCCGGCTCTGGCCGGGAATGTTGACTCCTCTGCTATGTCCAATATCCCTCCTTTGGAAGTTCCGAGCACTGCACAGCCCCCTGCAAGGGGAACACTCCCACACGCCAATGGGAGATCGATTTAATCAATAGAGCTGCTCTGATAGTGCTTGCTTTGTTAACCCTTGGGTTGCTGGCATTCCCAGCAAACACAGGCTTCAAGGATGTGCCCTGGGAAGTTTGGGGGATTCCCTCTCCCCTCTGGCCCTGCCTGTGTGGAATTTTGAGAGCCGTTGCTACAGGGCAGAAAGAACCTGATGCTCAGTGACCAGAAGGCAGAGCAGAACTGCTGCCTGAATTCCGAACTATAAACAGGAATCATCAGTCTGAAATCAGAACAAGCCATTTCAGCTCAAAGAGCTTTTCTTTTTCCTGCTAGAACACTTAAAACATTTGCAAAGAAAGTGCAGTTGTAGCTGCCAGCCTGGAATTAGGTAACTTTGGTACCCTGGTGAAACCAGCAAAGCGTTAAAAACAGAGCTGAGGGCAGATGTGGGTTCCAGAGCAGTGCTGGGAATCATTAGCTATCCTGGAGGTCCACTCCCTTTGGAGTTGAGACTTGCTGTCTTCCTAAATCCCCAGTGAAGAATCACCTGCTCCAAACCCCCAGTAAACTGTTCTCTCTCGTGTTGTTTCAGGCTGCTGGACGAGCTCCCCGAGTCAGTGACCAAGTGGGGTTCCTGTGGCAGAAGCTGCAGTGAGTGTGCTCGCGCTTGCACCACCTGCTCCCCAGCCCGGCACTAAACACACCCAAGTGTCTCACTCGGGGGGGCAGAAGAGAAGTGGAAGTAACACAAATTTAACAAAGTCTTCAAAAATAAATTATCTTGCCCGGTCTCATCCGGGATTATCCCAGGGAGTGACATAAGGGATCTTGGCCATCTGTAATCTAAGGTGTTGGGAAGCCATGGCTGTCCTGGAATCAGGAGTAGCTGTTAGTGTGGAAATAGGAAGGAACTGTTTACCAGAGGTTACTGCTCAGTGTTCAGAGTTTGAAAAAGCAAATGAATGGACAGTTTGTATCATGTTGTTTTGTCCTTCACTGAAATACAAAAGTAACCCAGGGAAAACAGGGGCCAGGAGCTACTTTTGATTTTTTTCCCTAGCATTTTGTATTAGAATAATTGGAATGCATTGTGTATCAGATAAAGTATATTCACGGTGTGTATACATATTTAATAAATCTTTCCTGCTGGGATTTGACCAGATGCTAATATCTGGTGGAGCACTCCAGTTTTAGGATACGCTTGGGTCTTCGACTGGAGGAAAAGTTGGATCCCCCCCATGTGTTTTTCCTACCAGCATTATTTCTGCCCATTCAGTGGTTTCCCTGGTTTTTGAACCACTGGATGATAAAATGTTGCTGCTTTACTTTTATAGGATGCAATCACAAGAACAACAGCTGTATTTGAAGTTAAAAAAAAGTTGCATTTTTTCCAAAGCACTCCTAGTATAATATCTAAGCAGATAAATAATAGAGTTGTCAGTAATTAATATTTAAAGGAGCGTTATGATCTATCCAGTGTAAAAGGCTTTGTTATTTTGTTATTTGTCGATATTTTGATTTTTACCCTTGGATAGCTTTTGGGGCTGTAGGAGTTAGAGGTGGAGCACTTAAGGGCTGGCTTGTTTATCCATGTCTGTCTTTTCCTTGTCTCAGAAAGACAAGACAGTGTCAGTTCTGTGCTGGCAGTTGTGTTCAGCTGCAGTTGTGTCTCCACTGTGTCGTGTTGGGATGAACCCTTCTCTGAAGTTCTAGGTGGAATTGACACTCCAATCCTCTCTGCAGGTGAAGTAGCCAAGTTTCTGGCCTGTGTTTGTGGCTTGGCTTACGACGAGAAGCCCAAGTATCAGGTGCTGAAGAAAATCCTGGTGGATGGCCTGGAGCCCAGAGGGGTGCGCTACGATGGCCCTCTGGAATTTTCCACGGCAGCCTGCTCGGGGAATCACTGCCCTGCTAAGGCTTCCAAAGTAAGTGACACAGCCCTGGGATTATCTCTGACATCTCCTGCTCCTTGCCTTTCCTTTCGCAGGGGAGGAAATGGCTTCAGATCCCAAAATGAGACTGACACAGCAGTTCTTTTGCCTTAAATACACCGGGTTTGTTAATTCCTGTTTCCCCTGGCTTTGCTAAAAAGTGGAATGTCAACCCTCAAGGAGGAAGAGCTGCCATGAGTCCTTTTGACCCACGGGCTCTCACTTCAAAGCAGGAGGTCTGTGCAGAATGATTTACTTTCAGGATAATGGGGAAGTCAAGGACTTTGTTCACTAACATCTTGAAGACAAGCCTGAATGCCAGGTTTTTCCTTCGCCCCAGATTAAAAGCAAAGTTACCTTTATTAGTGAAAGCATTTAATTCATTTTCTCACTTCCAAACTGTTCTTTGTCATTTGCCCTCGCGCTCCTGCAGCCCCAGAGTGGAGGAGGAACGACCGGGGGACAGAAACGTTGCTGGTGCGTGGGGCCACGGGCTGCCCTGACGCTGGATTTTGGAAGTGGCAGCTGTCCTGTGCCATTTTCCTCTGGTGCTCTAAGGCCTGAAGCTGCAAGTTAATCAAGGCCTCAGTGAGAGAGGAGGGTGAGGCGATTAGAAAGTGGTGCTGGGAAATGTCAGTGCCGGGAAAGCCCCGGATGCAGCGGCCCCGCGCGGAGCTCCGGGTGTGCAATAAGGCAGGGTCAGGGGACCGGCCATTTTTAATATTCCCGGTGAACTTTGGACCAGCACAAGTGCACGTGAGCCAAGAATGCAGGATGCAAACTAATGTGACTGATAGGCTGCGAGATGAATGGTGATTCAAGTATCAGTGCACAGATGGTTCTGATTTGCTGAGTTTTGTAGCTGCTGCAACTGAAGACATAAAATATCCTTCTAGTCATAAATTAGCTCTTTGGAAGCAAAACCTTGGCACCAGAGCTTTACAACCTTCAATTAGTAGGGAAAGAAGTATTTGAATGACTGTGGTATTGACATCTGTAGGCCTGCATAGTAATCATTCCTAATAGAAGAGAATATCTGTTTGAGGGGGTTTTGCATGGCTAATTAACCACCAGTGAGAATATGTAATTTTTTCATGATCTCCTGATTGTCACCTTTCTCTCATAATACAATTACATTTTATTGTAGCAAGTGCCTCACAAACCAATTGTCAGCACTATTTACGTATTGTGGAAGGCAGAACAAAAGTTCATGTTTAATGAAAAGGCACTGGGTTTTGATCTTGGTAATTACAGATACTTATTTTAGCAATTTTACTGACTTTTCTGGTTTTATCACTTTTTTTTTTTTCTTTGTTAACAAAACCAAAAGCTACTTTGGTGACAGGACTTGAAGGCTCTGATGGGGTGACCGCTTTGTCCTCCCTCATTTAAGCAGCTTTTTTTAAGCTTGCACTGTTTTCTGAAGTGAATGGAAGCATCAGGTAGCTGTTAGCTGATCTCCAGCTGATCCTGTTGGATCTCTGTTTCACAGGAGTCTTTGATTTCTTAGTCAGATACTGAAACAGTAAATCTTATTTCCTTCTTATTGCCTGGCCCAGGACTTGACAGGCTGCAGCATAAAAGATGAGCCTGACCTTGCAGGCTGCAGGAGCTGCTGCAATTTGCTATTTGCAAGTGCACAACCCCCCTGGAAAATCCCTGGCTGAGGAGTGTCAGTTCTCAGTGCCGTGCCACAGGACTAAGTGGAATTGGTTCTGATGGCCAGGAACGAGAGCAGAGAGAATGTCTGTGGATTACTAAATCTTGGCACCTGCCACCACTTTCTCAGGGAATTCTGTAATGCTGTGTCTCACTTGTTGGAATAGCAGGAACGTCAGGATCACCTGGCTTTTCCTGGAGTGTGTGCCTGCAGTTCTGCTGCTGACACCAGCGAGTCTCCTCTGACAGTCACTGCACAGCAGCTGCACAGTGGCAATTTTAGGGTTATTCAGAGGATTTAAGGAGGACTTCAATACAAGTAGGGAGGGCAGAAAACTGAACTCTCTCCACATTTATTGCCATTTTCAGAAAATGCTGCATTTCAGGGGCCTGGTGCCCTTGGTGCTGCAGGGCAGGCAGGCTCTTCCCCCTGAATCTCTTCCTGGCACTGTCTGCAGTGAGCCCAGGTGTGACTTCAGCTCAGCATTCCCTGTGCACCTCTCCTTCCCTTCAAACACCTCTCCCATTAAGGAGGCAGCCTAAGAACAGTGGGAGCCACTACAAACAACCTCTGTTGCTTCACGTGTTGCTTGTGAGCAGGCTCTGGCTCCCGTGGCCTGTGTGATTGCACCTGGACCAGTTTGGTACAGGACATGGGGTCACTGGGGGTTGCTTCCCTTCTGAAGACCAGTTAACACCTGTAAGTACCAGTCAGGGGATCCTGGAGCACCAGCTCCTTGAAGAGGATTGCTACAGAGCATGGATTTTAGGATACAGCTCCCTGTACAGTCTCTGAATCCAATCCAGAGATGGTATGGAAAGACAGCAGTGGCTACATCCTGGTTCTTTGTTCTGATTGCACACCAAACACAGGTGATAAAAGACTAATTGCATTAATTCTCAAATTCGTTTACCACGGTTTTGGCTCTGGATAAATGTTTTCAGCTTTGCCCCTCTGGTGAAAGTGCTGGTGGTGGGACCAAAGGAAGTGTGGTGAGACCAGCTCCGTGCTTGCCTGAGCTTGTAGATAGCAGATTAAAAATTAATTACATCAATACCAACCTGTAATTCCAGTAGTAGGAAATAGGGTCATTTTTACGTGTAAAATACGTATTTTTTTAAGTGGTTTAAGTTCTGTTTGGAAAGTGATACTTGTTTAAGGTGTGTCTGTGTGGTGAAGGTGATTGTTTGGGGAAGGTGTGGAAATGTTTACCCAAAGTTTATTTTCTAGCATCCTTCCCAAATGCAGCACAGCTCTACCTTGGTACTGGTTTGAGGAAAACATTTCTTGATATTTAAAATGCTGGAAAATATTCTTTTTGAGAAAGAATCCCTCTCGTTCTGTGTTCTACTCATACAGTTTTGTGTGAAATACAGGCTTTTTTCACTGTATAAAATGCTCACTGTGCATCCCAGGTTCGCCCACCGAAGCCTCCACCAAAACCAGCTCAGCCCAAGGGAAAAAAGATGGAAGGTGGAGAAAACCCCTGTCAGAACAAGGCCTGTGCTGGGGGAACAGCGACACAACTCGCAGGGGAAGAAAAGCCAAGTAAATTGAACAGGAGGCCTCAGCCAGCAGAAGAGCCTCAGCAGGTGAGGATTTGGGCACACAGCTCTCCCCTGCTCCCTGAGCTCCATGTCCAGCGTTTGGGGTGGGCAAGGAGGAGAAGGGCTTGGAAAAGGCCAAGTGCTGTGTCACAAAGCCCAGCAGTTGGCAGATTCTTGCTGGCTCCCAGTATCCCAGTATCCCAGGGGATAAGAGCTGGGAGGGCAGTATCTCACCTGCCCCAACCCGGGGCTAACTCTGAACGTTCCCGAGTTCCTTTCAGCTCCTGGAGTTCCTGTCTGTACCTCCACAGGCTCCCTCAGCCAGGCCCTGCCCCAAAGCCGTGGAAGCCAAGGAGAGCAGGGGGCAGGAGGACAGCTCCAGCTGCCTCAGCAGGCCCCACGCCCGCCTCACGCGCCGCCAGGGCCAGGCGGAAGAGAAGCCCCCGAAATGTTCCACCACGACCCAGGAGCACCCACTGAAGGTGAGGGGTTGGGGTTTCCCTACAACAGCCGTGGTGTCCTGAGAAGGAAAGAACAGCTCTTCTTAAAATAAGGGTTCAAAAAAACCCCAAAGCCCAAACTACGTGTGTGCAACCTCAGTGTTTGCCACAAACTCTAAAGGTCATAGCACTCAATTAATGAAGTTGTTAAATCTGAGGATTTCAGTAGTTAACTAACTCACCTTAAATAATATTGGTAATTTAGGGCATAAAAGGGCTGAATGACTGTTTTCAGTCTTACTCTTCAACTCTACAGGAAAAAAAAAAAAAGATGAAAAAATTAATCAAAGTTCTAGTACAAATAATGCAGAATAATTTATATCTCAGGGATCACCCTGCGCTCCTTTTCTCCGGAGCTTCAGCATATTTTAGTGAAGGGATTCCACCCTATTTTACCTCCATATAAAAAAATAACTTGGTTAAATGAGGGCAGTTTCTAACGAGCACAAAAATGCAACTTGAAAGGTAGCTTTATTATTAATCTGAAATTCTTTGCTTCAAGCAGTCTGATCATCACTGCCTGGAGACTCCGGTACAAGCTGGGAGAGGGAAGCCGAAAAAGCACAGCTGTACCTGAGAGCACCAGGCAAGACAGTGGTGAGCAGAACCATTTGGGGAGATGTTTTGGCAGCCAGCAGGGGAGGCAGAGTCTGAAAAGTCAAATTTTTCTCATTTAGAAAAAAAGCATGAGAAATAAAAAAGGCAGGGTTCTATTAGTTTCATTTTGCAGAATTCTTCCCACATAATTCAGGAGCTTGGTAACGGAAAGCTGTGTAGGAAACCACAGCTGAAGGGCTGTCCCTTGTTCTAAGGGCCAGGGGAAAAGCCAGGCAAGTCTTGGTAAGTGAGAAATGCAAGGGTGGAGTTTGGCTAAGGATGGCACTGCTGCTGGAGACCAAAACCAACAGCCACCTGTCCAGGGAGGACAAGCCCTGCTGGCAGGTCTGTTAGCTCAGAAGTTCAGCTTCACTGTGAAATGCAAAACTTACACAAATCAAAACAGCAAATCCAACTTCGGAGTCGTGTCTCAGGTTCCCAGGGTAAACCTTTATTAGCCCCAAACCAAGGAAGACTGAATATATTAAACTTTTTTGGAAACAAGTTAAAGACAGAAAAATTTCAGCTGTGGACCTGAATAGTAAATATAGACTATGTATCTTTCCCCATACCTTATGTTACACACTTACTGTACAATATCCATACATCACCAATTCCAGAGGTAAGAGTCTGTAAGAATTGTGTTGCTTTCTCGTGGAAAACTTAAATACCCCAGAGTTTTTTCTGATTCACATCTCACTTAAAATATGAACAACTTTATTATTACTCTTCTTTTCCTCTGCAGAGAGACACTGTAAGAGATGTGCCACCGTTTGACCCCTACAGGATATTCTCAGACTCCAGAAAGAAATACGATCACCTGCTCAGTGCGGTTCACGCAGTGCCATCCCAGGCTGGCCCTGAGAGCACTCGCCCTTCCATGGCTCTTGTGTTTAGGTTGGCCTTTACTGACCAAACGTACCCCTACACTGCAGCTGTCCTGGTGCTCCTGCTGCTCATTGTGCTGTCCTTGTATCTGCTGTGATGCTGCTGCTTTGGTGGCTCCAGTGTAAGTGCAGTGCTGTTCCCACCTCACGGTTTTTCCTCAGAGTTTCTTCGTTGAACATTTCAGCGTCAGGGGCTTGAAAAAGAAGGTTTTAAATAACGCTGTCAGTACATACCTTGTGCAGGCACGTTCTCTTAAACCTCCCAGATCTGCACTAGTAGTTATGGATGCACTGAACTTTTTGTGCTGCTTTCTGTTGCAAATGTTGAGATTCTTTTCAGTGTGCTTTTTTTTTAAACTGAACCTTTGTTACAGCAACATTAAAAACATCATAAAGCACAACAGAGTGTGATCTTTAATTACTCTGGCACTAGTGTGTTGTGACTGATGTGGGGCTGTCTTTATACTGTGTGAGAAAACCTTTAGTTAAACACTGAGGCATTACATGCATGGGAATTTAGTTTACTCCAGTGTGTAAAGAGAAAGCAGAATTTGTGGCTACTATCTTAAAAAAGAGAATGGAAGGTTAACTTTGATGAAAAGTTAACTTTGCTACTGGCTTTGCCTTTTCCTGAGCTCCCACACAGCCTTTAGTTCACTCCTATTCCTTGGATTTCCTTACCTTGTTGCAGTAGGGACATTCGCCAAAGATGACATTAAAACTCTGCCTGCTGGTAGGAAGGCCTTGTAGCCACTGCAACACAAGGAAGGGGGTTAAAATGCACATTGGTTTCACATCAGATTTAATATCTATCTATTTATTAGGAGGGTTCAGCTGATGAACATCTGGCACGGTGCACTGAAAGTCAGAGGGGGGAGAGCTGAGGTAGGAACTGGGGGTGAGAGGGCAAGTAGAAGCACAGGGAGTGTGCTAACGTTCCTGAGGGGATTTTGCTTCATCTGGAATTGGAGTGGGCAGTGGTTGTTCTTTAGAGCCTGCCAGTTCCTGGGCAGTTCGTGCCATTAAGTGCTTTCTTTACCTCATAGAGACAGGCCTGGTGGAAGGGTTGTCCACAGCGGGGCTCGTCACACACGTGGTCGGGAGTGGCACCGTCGAGGCGATAGGCATAGCAGATCCCACAGTCCTTGGCAAAGTCCTGCAAAACAACAGGGCTCAGCTCACACAGCAGCTGGGAGGGACCAGCGGGCTGCTAACACAGCCAACAGGTTCACCTCTGTCCTTGCTTTTGCCTGTTCTGTTAGCTAGAATCACTCTTCTTGCCTCCAGCATGGAAGTGTTTGTGCCATAATGGCATGCAGTGACAGTGGTTCCCAGGTGCACTAAACTTCACTGGGTTATATCTTACATCTAGTTCAACAAGATTGTCGTACCTTTGGGCCCATTTTTTGTATTAACCACGATGCTTTGTCATTACATTTCACCATCAGACACAAGCCCTCAGTCAGATCTTAATTCAGAAATTTCACAAGTGAAAGCCGAGCTCGTAATCCAGCGTTAAAGCATTGTCAAAAATTAATTCCCAGGTCTGTTTGAAATGCCCCGGTATTTGGATGGCCTCTTGTCCGCTGTAGGCAGCTGCACCTAATTAGAACCAAAGTCATCAACACCCATAACAGAATGTTTGGATTGTCCACATCTCATTAGCTACTCTGGAACTTCCTCTTTCCCTTTTTAACAGTGGAGCCTGTTATTAATGGCCCCTGTGCTATGAAGGCCACAGGGAAGTGTGCACCTCTAATCAGAGGTTAACAAGCTCTCACAACTGTTGCTTGAAGTTCAGAAGTCCTTGTGACAATATATTAATCCAATTACCCCTCTTCTAAGTCCCTTATTTTTCCTGGCTGTTACAAAGTGACCATTTAAATGGCCCTTGTTCAGATATAACAACTGATCATTAAAGAAAAGCAACTCACGCTTTTTTCCAACACCGCACGAGATGGAAAATCAATTTCTAGGAGGTCTTTCAAGTTTTGTAACAAACTGATTTCTGGATCCCTGTGGGTGGGAGAGAGGGATTAAAAATTCCACCCCAGGAATGGCAAACACCATTTCAGTTGCAAGCCTGTTTCGCTAAAGACACTCACCACAAGTGCATGTTGTTGTTGAGCTTCGCTCTCAGAGGGGCCACCGCTGCAAAGCAGGGACAGAACAATCACATCACCCCACTGAACATCCCAGATTTCAGGGAGGGCTTGGACTGGAGAAGAAACAAGGGGAGTCTGTGTCTTACCGTGATCTGCTCCGAGGAAATAACACTCTGGAAGCATGCTTGGGTGGCGAGGATCTACCTCCACGTTCACAGACACGTTGTTGCCTGCAATGAGAAAGCAGGGAAGGCCATGGGGAAGCTTTGCAGTCAAGTATTAGAAAATGGGAACGTTTTTAAAAGCAGTTTCAAATTGGTTAAATCAGGCTGGGTTTCACTATGATAAATAATAAAGAAGTTGGGAAGTATCCAAACGAACTGTACAAAATATCAGTATATGTGAAATATTTGCATTTCAATGGACTGTAATTCAAAATAGCAACTGATTAAAAAAACCTGCCAGGCTTGCATTTCTTTTAGACTAGTCTTAACACTCAGGCTTATTTCTGCATAATCAAACTCAGGCTAGATGACTAAACCCACTGGAAATCGTAGCAGAACTTGAAAGGTAGCAGAGATGTAACTTCTGAATTCATGCCTATCTTTCATAGCCAAGCAGAGAAGCCTGAGGATACTGCGAGGCAGTGACAGTCAGTGCCCTGCCCAGCACACCTGGGCTGAGCCAACAGCGCTGCGTTTTCAGCCAGCCAAGTGGAAAGGTGATCTTTTTAATGTACAAAAAAGAGCCGTGTCTTTGGGTTTTCACTTCTCCAATCCACTGTTTCCCTCCCCACCTTTCCCTACCGATGGCAATCCTCCTGGCCGTGGCGCTCCGGGGGGGGTTCTCCGGCTCCAGCACCCACGTCTTGCCATCGATCTCATCCAGGGTGTCCCAGAATCCCTTCAGTGACTCCAGTGCTGCCAGGAACTGCTTGTAAATGTCGAGTAAGGAGTTCTAGGAAAAGAAAACAGATGTCCTATGGTTTCCACGGGTGGTCAGAGAGAATGTTTAAAAACCAAACTATGAGTGAAGGAGTGTTAAAAGCCCTGTGTGTGTCCCACTGTATCCTGGTGGCAGAAAACGTGGAAGCCCACTGGGGTTTTAACTGAAACCACTCAGGGAAAGCTGCACCCTGAGCACAAACACTTTATCCTGGTAGTTCTAACGTGCTGTACATACACCATGCTTGGATTTGATAGTGGTTTATACTCCTTTTTTAAAAAGCTGGGGTGAGCTATTAATTTACATTGTAACTTTAACAAAACAGCTGTAAAATTAAAGTGAAATCATAATTTGTCCTCATTATCATCATTGTATTATCACTGACATTCTGATATTTAGTCTCTACTCAAGCTGAGCACCACAACTACAGAGAAACACCCACAGAACCAAAGGAGCTTATTTATTTTTTTAAAAAAATATCACCTACCATCATCATAATTATCTCGAAATCAAGCAGTTTAAAAAAACCAGGTGCTTAACATCAGATTTCCAACCATGTAAATAAGGCAAGAGGAGGAGAAACCATCTAATAATCAGAGGATTATACTTGGGGGATTTCAATATTTGAGAGTGGATTACATGGAATCAGAAAAATCTTTCATTAGACAGGACAATGTACAGGACAGTGCAAAAGAAACCTTTTAAATCATCCAAAAGGAAGTAACTATTTCTACAAGGAAAGGCTTTTCTGCAAGGGGAGAAAACACCTGGTGGTCAAGTGAAGCCCTTTGCAGGTGCCCAGAGAGAGCCAGATTTCAGATCTCTTGGGCTCCAAAATAAAAAGCAAATTAAATGTTCTGCTCTCAGAGACGTATTTTTCTATAAATAAAACAAAATAGAGAGGGAATGGTTTCCTTTAATCTGCAGTGATTATGTTCTTCCTTTCTCACCTGGACAAAGAGAAGCAAATTATCTGAGCGTCCTGAGATGAAGAAATGGGCTTTTTCTCTGTAGTAACTTTTTATATTTGGTGATACATATTTTAGAAAGAAATGGCACAGCTTGGAAATAAAATGCTACATTTTTTTCCTGCTGTTATTACATTATATTAAAGTAGGAAAGCACCTAAGCAGAAAAGTGTGAACACTGGCAATCTCCAAATGTAACGCTTATTATCTTTAAAAGCATTTTGTTACTTTTATAATACCTGAAGTGATATAATAGTGTCAGTCACTTAACCACATCTTAGAGTATGGTATCTTCATCTTAAGTACTATTATTTCCAGTATTTTAATAATTTTCACACAGTCCTGAAATGTGATCTTTTCTGCTCTGATGACACTTAAATTAATAGCATAATTTTCTGGTACTTGCAACAGTTGCTTTCCATTTTGATTTTTTACATTTTTCTATATCACATACAGATAAATCCTCTAATAATCATTTTTATCTTTATCTTCCGGGAATTCAAAGGGTTTCACTAGAAAAAAGAAACATCAAGGGATTATAACCCACAGATAAGTTTTAAAATCCAATTAATTTTAATACTAATTGTAATTTTTCAATGATGTTCCTTAAAAAGGTAGTTAAATCTTTTTTTTTTTATACACTGTTCATTTGATCTTATTTGCATGCTTCATTGATGTTGCCAGCTGTCTCCTGCTATAGACATAAATGCATCTATAGCTATTTAAATACATCACCTGCTTGTCATGCAAGCCATGAAAACCCCAACATTCCTTTTTATTTGATTACCCAACTAATTTTTGGTCGTTGCCCAACGCTTTTAGAACAGCCTGATGGTGCTTTCCTTTGGTCCCAACTACACCAGGATGGTTGTTAATAACGTCAAGCAGCACCAACTCTTTGTCTGGTGGTGCCTTTTGTACAAAAGTGTTGGGATTTGCGTGAAATACGTCCAAATTCTTTGGGAAGGAAGGCAGTGATCAATCAGGCTATCACTGCTGCTCACCCTGACCCAAAAAGTACTTGGGAAACCGGACTGGTCCCTCCATAAACACTGACTTTGCTGTTCCCTCCATAAACACTGACTTTGCTGTTCCTCAGCCACCAGTGAGCCCAAGTGACCTGTGTGTTGTGGCTCCCGTGTCCCTCAGCCATTCCAAGCACTGAGTTTGTCCAGGGAGGCTCAGGTGCTCTGGATCCACCTGTCTCTCCCAGGGGAACACAGCTTCTCTTCTGCCAGGAAATTCCGTGCCAAGTCCTTCCTTCTTTTTTTCCCTCATTCCCATTCAGACATTTCCCCGAGTTCCCCCTTACTGCTCACACACCATTGCCTCCAGTTAAAGGACTGAGAAGGAACTGGATAAAAAGGGTCACTCTACTCTTAGGTCTTATTTCTAGAGCCACAGAGGCTGGGAAGAATAAAGGAAACTCTTGTGTCTGCTCCTGCCATAAAATCCAGGAAGCCTTTCAAGAGCTTGTAAGGTGTGCTAGAGCCTATATGGCTATGCTGCCAAACTTCAAGCACCTGCTCCACACCCTGGATGAATTAAATATTAAATCAAATATTGGTAAAAAAGTTCTAATTAAGGTAAATACAGCACAACTGATTACAAGCTATTTTTCTTAAAAAGATAAAAATGTGATTTTTTAGCTAAAATTCTTCCTAATGCGCAATTTGCTTATCCAAAATTAAAACAACTGCAAAAGCCCCCTAATGGAAAAGGTGAAGTAGCCTGAACTATAGGTGCTGACACCTGCTTGCCCTTCAGGAATTTATAAATAAAATACAATTTAACAGAGCCAACAGTTGTTGGCTGGGAAAGGAATCACCTGTATCACCTAAAAAATTTGTGGTTCTTCGGATTTGTTAGGAAACTGTTTCCCCTGAACAGTAGTTTAACAATTTCCCTCCTCCTTAACACAAATCAGAGCGAGACACAACACTGAAATCTTTATAAAGTGTCTTGTCAGCCCTCTCCTATTTACAGCTGGTGTCTGTGAAGCTCCTTTGCCAAGAAAAAGCACAACCAGGAAGCGTTTTATTGTGTTTTCATCGAAATAACCAAGGAATAATCTCACACATACACTACACCTCCCGAACCTTGTCTCACTGTTCCCTTGCCTGCTGCTGCACGACCTCATTAGTCATTAATTCCCACTGTCCTGACCTTCATGTAGCCGACCAGGTGGGCAGTGGGCAGCGCAGGAACCACCCCCTGCCACGAGGGCAGCAGGACAGACACCCCGAGCCTGCAGCACCACCCTCCCAGCCAGGGCTAAAACTGGAGCCAGCACACTCGTGGGGTTCTTTAGAAAAAGGAGAGAACAGAAATAAGTAGATGTTCTTGCACTTGTCATTGAGAAGCACTCTGCATTTATTTGGCACTTAGAGCAGGAGCAGCAGCAGCAGCGTTGCCCTTGGTGCTGATTTCTTACCACTCTAAAACGTCTCCTCTGAGCCAGAATCCACTGGCTGTTGCTGCTCATGCTGTGAGACACCTGCACTGGCTACTGGGCTTGTCATGACGCACAAAACCCCACCATCTTCAGCTTGACATTGTGCAAGTTATAATTATTCATCCAAATGAATATGTCAGAGCAGCAGCAGCAGACCTCTCATCAGCGCAAAAGAAAAATACATCAAAACATTATCAACCCAGCAGGAAGACAGGGACCATAAGGAAAATTACCCATTTTTAATATGGATGCCATAAAGCCATGTCTATTATTATACAGAAGGGGGGGGGGGGGAAAAAAAAAGGAAAGAAAAGAAAAAAACCCAACCACCCAACAACCCCTCAAGTTTAAAGTCCATGAGCCTGAAATAGGCAGCGGCACACGCAGGGGGCGGGAAGAAAAATCAATTACCTGCAATCTATTTTTATTTTCTCTCATAGGAGTTTATATTCTAATGGTGCAATTGCCCCGTTTTAGTTAAGGCTTGTCAGTTTATACATTAAAGAAGACCAATAAATAGTAAAATGCAAGACCTGCTGGTGCCAAACCATCACGCTATTTTATTAGGGAACAGGTATAGAGCGTTCTTTTTCCCTTTTAGGAACCAAAATTTCCAGGCACTCGAGTACCAGCTGAATTCTGCTGCCAGGGGTGTTTCAGCATTATCTAAGCTTAACCCACATTTTAGCACGGTGTGAAGGCTGCTCACTGCAATGTTTTCCACACATTTGGAAAATAAACACAATTTCCACAATTACCAGAGCCATTTGTTGGGTTCGTGTCACCCACGCAGACAAGGTCAGCGTTCCAAACCTCCTGTACGGCTAAAGCCCTTCTGTCAGCACACAGCTCGGGCTGCTGGCATTTGGGGCAGGATTAGAGCAGCTCTCTGCAGCTGGAATTACTGTCTCCTGATTTCCAAACAGGCTCTTCAGTTACACACCAACATCTATCGTTCATGTTTTCCAACAGCCCCCAGGTAATTCTGACTGTAAGGAGATTTTAAGCACCGGGATGTTGTATTTTTACCGTTGGATTTTCCTTGGTTGTAGTGCCAGTATTAATATATCCAGCCCCGTTTTTAACTTGTCAAAGGCTGCTCCGTGTCATGTTCTTCAAGAACATTTTATTAAATTACAAGTCCTGCCAGTAGCTTTAAAATTACTAACAGTAAACATGGAGAAGCAGTGACTGTCAGGGATATTTGAAGTGTTGTTAATTTGAGGCAACGTAAATTGCAAGGCTGTAAAATTAATAAAATACTGTTAAAACTATGTTTAAAGTTTGAGGTTAGAAACAGCACTTGAAATCCTGCCCATGGTTTATGGACTCCAGCAGAATTTAAGGGAAAAACCAACATCTACTTAAACTGTTCCAAACCATCCCAGGGAATCAAAACCTAAATTTACATGATGAACTAAATACATTTGCAATGCTTGATTCTCGCAGTTATTTGCTCAAGCTCCCAATTATTAGAGGGGGATCCACAGAGCCTTGAGCTTTGCAGTCAAAATTATATGCCCAGTGTCAACTCCTCCTGCTGCAAACTTCCAGCCAGGAATTCAGGACCAAGACAGGCTTCACCGCTGGGGAGAAATCCTTGTGAGAGCTGGAATTAGCAGACGCAATCATTTATATAAAATCTATTTTCCCAAATTAAGGGAAATTAAACATCAACTATTTTCTAGAGATAATTCAAATTAAGTTACATCTAAAGTGGTCACATTAAATTCATTTAATAAAGTATACACGATCTATTCAGGAAAGAAGGCTCATTAAATAATGTGGGACTAAAAGAAGACAATGGCTTGTGGCTCTTTACAGTAACAATATCAGTCAAAATAGAAATCAGAATTCCACTAAATACTTCCCTGTTTCGATTACAACTGGATTATAAGTTTTATTATGTTATGAAAACTGCATAGGATAACCAAGTGGGGGACTGCGCCCTTTTTTTAATGCCTGTCAACTTCAGAAGGTGCTTCTTTCCTAGAAGACAATCATTTTTCATGCATTTCATTTCACTTTCCCTTCCCCAATGTAATTCCTACAGAAATCTCAGCCACATGAACTGCTTAAAAAAACCCCAGGCTGTGTGAGTGCGAAGATCCAACATGCAAAGCATATCTACGTGGCAAGGGAGAGATCTCAGATGGTACAGCCGGAATGCAGAGTTCAGTGTTGTTACATTTTCCTGGGCACGTACAGAACTGAAACGCACGCAGGGAGAAAAGCCGGAGTTAAAAGAGAAAGCCCAGCCCCTCGTCAGCACCTCCCCACTGCACGTGTGGGTAAAGAAAAGCCGCCCAGCCCTGCAGGTACCTGTGGCATCCAGGAAATGGCAAACTGAACAGGGAAATCCACAAGGCAGTCTGGTGCTTCTGTGGGATACTGAGGGAGGCAAAGGAAATACAGTTTTACTGGTTTGTTTTTTTTTTTTTCCTTAGTGATTTAAAGTCAAGCCGATACTCAGCTGCCAAATTTGGTAACAAAATACAAGCACTTCATGCATCTTGAGGACTTGGCTCTGAGACAAAACAGTATGTAAAGCATTTTCAGAAATAATTAGGGATGTTAATTATTATTTAAAGAAGAAATTTACGTGTAAGTGTTTTTACATATCAGCTTTTGGTAAAGGCAGGAGAATCCCAGCTTTCTGTGTTCAGTGGTCACAATGTGTCCTTCAATAAACCTTAAGACAAAAAACCCCAAATTTTTTTTTTTTTTAAATTTCTCCTCAATTACCTGTACTGGGATAGGGAAATTTTAAAAACCTAAACAACCCTTTCACGGATCAACAACTAATTTCCATTTAAACCAGGCTATTTGCTCTGATTGGCAACATTTTGTTTTTTGAAACTGAAAGTAATCTGAGTAAGCACAAAACTATTTAAAAAGACTTAATAAGTGAACATACACCCGAAATTAAACCACCTTTCAGTCCAAATTAAAATATCTCTGAGAAGAAAAGCTGTATTAAAAATCCTGAAGTTATGAAAGGTTTGATAACTCCAATCAGAGCATATCATTGACAGCTTAGGTTATCAGCTACGACCAAACGTGCGTGTCAGAAATCATCCTATTATTCTTTAGAACAATTTAAGCTATTATTAAACAACATACTTATACTGGATTTCTAAGCATGCAACTAACTTCATCTAGAAAAAGCATTTTCAGAAGCCTTGCCAAATCATTCAGATAATTACCAAAGTGTTTTAATTACTACACGACATGCAAATCCTTGCAGTGGCCTGTTTGAATCCTTGGGGTCCGAAATGCTCCCACACTACCCTTCATCAAAGGAACAGAATAACAAAAACACCCAGACTTTCACTACAGCAGGTTATCAAAAGAAACCCCTTAAAATAAAGATTTCAGCCAAGTCCTTTCCAATGTATTAGTTACGTGTATGAAGGGAAATCAAACCCCCAGGTCACCAAACCCACATTTCACACCCAAATTTTGTCTGGCGAGTTTAAATGCCAGACGTGGCTTAAAAAGGACAAGCAATCGATCCCTCATCACAACAAACACCTGAAAACAAAACAAAAACAAGGAGAGAGAGCAGAGATGGATGATGACTTGTTTCAACAGACAAGTCAGATAATCTGCTCCTTTTATTACATACATCCTTAGTTGTCAGATGGTGCTTTCTTCTGCTATGAGGAGTATCCAGGTATTTTACAACAGCAAGGAAAACACTGGTTTTTACAAGGACATAAAATGGGAATCTCCCTTCTCCCCTCAGGACAGGGATAAGTTAAGGCTGAACAGAACCAGCAGAAGTGCCACAGTGTTTGACCACAGTTTGGTAAAAAGGAGCATTGCACTGCATTTTTTCTGCACTTTTTTACTTCCAAATAGTTCAAACACTTTACTTCTGTTGTCACACGAGCACGTAAAGCTTTGAGGCGACAGGCTGCACCTGATCTCCAGTGTCACACTCAGCGTGGGAGAGCAGCTCCCCTGTAAACAACACAGCCTGGTGACTCGGGTTGAACACGAAATAGACAATAATTGTACCTCCTGATGGATTTTTTCCATCCATGTATTTAATAATGGACTGACTAGCAAATTAATTATGCATTCATTACTCTGTGCATGTGGGATAATTTTACCCTTTTTAAAAATCTACTCAAGCAACCCTCAAATTCCCAAACAGTTCTTTTTCCATAGGCCCCTTTCCCCCCCTCTAAGGTAAAACTAGCTCATCTTATGTAAGAGTAAAAAAACTCATGGTATTTAAAGAAATATTGGGATGCTTGTGAAAGTGAAATCTAACCCTACAATGACCACTCCTCATGCCTCCCAGATTATTATTCCAAAGGATGTACCAAGGGTTGTCCTTGGTACAACGTTCAGACACTTTTGGATCCACGTTTTCCCCTGGACTGATTTTCCAAAGACACACAACAGTTCTTGCCACCCAGTTGTCCCCACACAGCCTGGACAGGCACAGTCTCGGGTGGGAGATTTATGCCCTGAAATGAGACATTCTGTGAAGAAAGGCTGCAATTCGAGTTCAGTGCTCAGTACCAGGAAGAATTAGGATCTTTCTCTCTCTGCATACACCAGGGTTTGATTTGCAAGTGCTGTCAAAATTAGGTAATTATTTAGACTAAAAAGGAATCATTTTTCTGGCTGAATTCTGTAGTCAGTTTTTCATAAATCTTTACATCTATAGCTTTAAAAGTAGGACTTGTTAATGAACAACCTAACATCCTCTAATTCGTGTGCTGTGCACAGTCTCTGGATGGAGTGATAATGAAGGAAAGTCTCCCAGATGGCTTTGCCTGTAATCCAGCAAAATGACTGCAATATCACAAAGTGTTTTTCCCGGGATGCACAGTTGCATCTTGCAGATAACCACAATGCAACATTAATTTTAAATATTGTTAAAGTCTGAAAACTCTCTATAAAAAAATTTACCAGCTATTACTTTGCAGAACAGACACATTAACAAACAAACCAACTCTCTAAAACAGTTACGAATTAAGAAAATCCATTTATTATTTCAAGGAAGCCTGAGGTGTTTCCCCCACATGAATTTACCTTTGCATTTAACTTGAGAGTGATGAGATGCTGTCGACCACGAGAGTCTTCAGCCTTTAACTTGACCGTGGTAAGCCCGGTGTCCACATAAGCGACTCTGGAAGAGAGAGGAAGCTCTTGGAGCCCGGGGAGAAGTGCAGTGTGAAAGGTGTGCAGTGCCCTGATTAGTGCGTTACAAATATTAATCAGAGAAGTCCTGCACGCCAGCCACTTGTGCTGCTGCAGATTTACTGCTGTTAATGCACCAGGCTGGTGCTTAATGCAGCCATACATCTCGGGGTTATTTACAGGCAGTGTCAGGCTCACGCTGTGGTCAGTGAGCACCGTGTTGCAGTTTTCCATCACTGGAACCTTTGACACACACAGCATGTTCCTGTCAGCCTCTACTTATGTTCACATTAAACTTCCTGTCAACTCTTTGATCCATTTCTGCACTTTCTTACTCCAGGAGACTTTTATGCTCTTGATTAGCTTTGCTCCTCCACGGAGTTCTCTTTTATTATCAATACTGTAATGGTGGGAAATTCAGGGGGTATTGGTTCATATTCTGCAATTGATTTTCTGCAGGAAATAGTGCCCAAACAGGTACAAAATGAGTTATTTATGATGATTTGCCTTCGTTTCATGACAGCTTTACACTGTATTCATGCACCCTAGCAAGCAGCAAGTAGATACTAAATGTAAATAAGTTTTAGAACTTCTGCCATAATCACTGAGTCTTTGTTTAGGATGGCACTGATTTGTGCTTCCCAGCACAATGAAGATGGATACAACTGTAAAATACATTGTTCTCTAGAAATGGATTCTGCTGAGCAGAAAGGTTCAGACTTCTCCATCTTCTTACAGTAAACTGGACACGTGGGTATTTTGCCACTTTTGCCGTGTCATTCTTGTGTAAAGATAAAAAGCAGTGCAAAATAATCGCTCAACTTATCACCCAGAACTGATGGAAAGGCCTATCAGAGTTCAAAGAGAGAATTTCTTGCTGGCCTTAGTAACATTTATTTTTTTAAACCATTACATATTATAGACCAGTCACACAATGCTCTCCAGTGAAACTGGAAAGGAGTTGTAGAAGCTTGGACAGTAGATGAACACCAAAGGGTGGGCACAGCCCTGGAAGGAAGTAAAAAGAAAATTCCTCAATATGAGGGAACTGAAAAATTTAGATGGAAAATGCAATAGTAGTAGTAAGAAGGGGAGATATTATTTCATGTTAATCCTGATTAATGCAACATTAAAGAGTCCTACAGATTTCTGTATTTGCGTTGAAAGAAAGACAAGTCAAACTTGATATTGGAGCATTCTTCCTCTAACTGGGGGGAAAAAAAAATCATTGCTCCCACTTTGCTCCAAATTTACCTCCAAATTGAATCACAGTTTCAGAAAGACAAGAAACCGTGGTGGCACATGTGATGCAAGTCCATAAAACAAAACTCTCTGGAGATTTCTGATAAATCTCCACATGGCCCTTGAATACTCAATCCCAATGTGTGTTCCCTCACATTCCTAGAGAAGGTTTGAGGAGAAAAACCTTGTTTTCCTCTGTAGGAAGGTGAATTAAATTTGCTCTATGAGCTCATCTGAGAGTATATGTTCCTGTGAATATTCTTATGAAGTTCTGGATTTATAGCTTTCCCAATTCTCCCTTCCACTCACCTATTTTTTTGGTACATTTACCTTTCTGTGGATTAAATAAATCATTTTTTTTGCCTAAGGAGATCCTTTTGCTACGCAGAGCAAAATAGAACTGTTCTTTAAAAATAACTATTCTAGTTCTAAAAAATGTATGAGCTGCTTTTATGAAAGCACAAAGGTACATGATGTTTAACCATAGCCCGTGGGAAGAGTCAAAAAAAAGCCCTACAAAGAAAGGAAAAGAAGGAAAAAAAAGAGAACTACAAATACTAACAGTAAATATATTTACTATATCAATAGTTTATAGGTCAAGAAGAATTGATTTCTTAGCGGCAGCATCTCACCTTTCAGCTCAGTTATTTGAGACAGAAAACACACCTTGACTTGATACAGGCTTGTTATATTTGTTTTTAATTAAAAACAAATCAAAGGAATTTTCAAAGCAAAATCAGTTCGTGAATAGGGTGAACTAACAGAACAAGTCCATTTGATACGTCCAACTCACCAAAGAGGAATGGATATGCTAGAGATAATGTTTGTTAAGAAATCAAATTTTCATACTTATTCCAGCCCAGCGTTTCCAGATCTCTGACAAGACAGGAGTAGTATTCCGGCGGCCGGGGGACGTGCAGGTCTGGTGTGTTCTTTAAAGCAATTTCCTGTTTAAAAGAACGTTAAAAACATCATTAAGAGAGATTTCAATATTTTTGCATCTATTTAGCCATGTGATTTTTGCAATTCAATCAAAAATATTAAGCTTATGTAAAATTAACTGTACACTGCATTTGTTTTGTTATAGCCTCCAGCTAAAGCAGACAAAGAGGCTGTTTGGGAAATTACTTCAGATACTGGTAATGAAAACATCTGCAATTTAAAAAAAAAAAAAACCACAGATGTTGACAGCATAGTCTTCAGATGCAAATATCAAATGTGCCTCTTTTTCAGCTAATAAATTTGAAGTCAAGCATCTCAACTGAAAGAACATTTCAAAAGGAGGTTCTATTAAGCCCACAGCTGCCTCCTGGGCTCCACAGCCACAAAAGAAGACACATCTATTAAATCCCCCATTATATATATATATATATATATATATAAACTTTATACAGCAATCATAAAGCAAAATCCATTTCTCAGTTTTAACATCACAGGATCCCAAAGAATAAGTTTTGGTGCAGTTATCTAGTACGTTGTAATGTCTCAAAAAGTTTTTATCCAAAAGGTAATTCCATGTTACAGAGAAAAATGAAATCAAATCATTTCCCAAGAATACAAGTCACTTAAAATCTTAAATGATGTTGATACAAGTGTGACATGAACAGCACACATACAAAATCATCTCTTCTTAATAAATCTATCCATAGCCAACAATCCATGGAACAGTAACCTGTAAAGAAATGAGAGTGAAACCCTAAGGCCTCAGAACATCCCATCTCCCACAGATGTATTTTGTCACCTACCAAAACAGTTTTCAGCTCCACCATAAAACTGACAAGATCTGGGCAGCTGTGGAGCCTCTGCAGGAAACACAGCGTCAGTTAATTTTCTTCAACTTCTAGCAGTTCAGTCCAACTTTGTAGCATTGTCAAATCAACAAAGATTAAAAACCCCAACTGCATATCACAAGTGTAAATATTTCAGTTACAGAGCAGATCTCCCAGAGCACAGAAAACTTTACTGAGAAAGACTTTACTTGACTGTCTACAACACAGAGTGAACTAGGCCTATCAATAATTAATGTGAACTCTCTTCTTTGCATTATATACAACTTGTAAAAAAAATAAATATGTAAAAAAGACAAACTCTGTTTCTAATTGAGAGATTAAAGAAAAATTCCAGTAAAACGTCAGCAGTCTTTCATTAAAAATTGTTCTTGCTCAACCTTCAAAAAAAGAATAAAGCTTGAATAAAAATAAATATTTACTAAATCATCAGGCAGTTGAAAATAAATCTTGGCTACACAACGAAAGAAGGGTTCTTTAACACTTTTAGAATAGGTGAATGAGCATAACCTCTTCAGAATTATTATAAATATACATTTAAGACTATATTTGAAAGAAACTGTTTTAAACTTTTATACCTGCTTTAAAATATGCTGATATCGATGAAGGATCTTCTTCAGACTCCAGCTGCACTCTATCCTGAACAAACGGTATTTTATATAAATTTTAAATTCACAGTACAGGATTTTTAAAAGAGAGCAGAAAACCTGCTGCACACAACAGCACAACATTTTCTTAAAAAGAAAAACAAAGGAAGTAAACAATACTTCAAAACTGCTTTGAGTTTCTTGTTCAAAGTTACTTAAAACTTGCAAATGTCACTATCCCAAAGCCCATTAAAAATTAAGCATTTACCTGCAGAAGCCTGTTCTTTGCTGGAGACAACAACATAACTCTTGCAAGCTCCTGTGCCTTCATAAAATACACTAATATTTAAAAGTGATAACCTGGAAATGTCAAAGTTCCCTCTAATGCAGTTTTAATTACCCACCCCTGAGTGCAATAAAGCCACAGGAACAGCCCATCTGCTCTCAGCTGGGAGCGGGCTGGCCTGGCAGGAGTGGGGAATCCAAAGCTAAAGGCTAATCCATGTGGGTGGATTAGCCCCTGCCACTCCCGCTCCCACACACCGCTGTGAGACACACAGGAACGAGAGCAGAGCTTTCAGACAAAACCTGGGCAATGCCAATTAACACCCAACCAGGAAAGGGAAAACAATTACAATTTTGCACCGGATTTTTTGCTTCCCAAACTGTGACGTATAAATCATCTAAGGGACCATTCTTTTCCAAACACGTTGCTTCATGTATAAATACAACCAATTAATTGCAACAAGTTTCAAAGTTAATCAATAGCAAAATATATTGATATAGGCAATGTTTATTGTCAGCATTTATTAACACTGATGCTGTCCAGTTTTGTTGCAAAGTTAAGTTGAAGCCAGTAAGAATTAATTAATAACAGCGATACTGGAGGAGAGAGTGATTCATGTGCATGCCCATCATTGCTTCTATCAAAATAAACTTTGTTATATCACACTTTCAAATTGCTTTTGTAAACTCTCTCACCTTGCATTTTTCAGTTGCAAATCCTCTGGTAACAATACCCTGATGTGGAAATCTCTACCCTTGAAAAGAAACAGTTAACAGGGAGGTCAGCAAATAAAAATATGAGAGGCTTCTGGGAAGCGTTCCCCATCAGATCAACTACCAAGAAAGAAACTCTGTCCTATCTGATTTTCAGGAACATTATTCCGAATTTCTTTATTTAGGTATAAAAAGCAGCATGAACGACAGGTACAAGTAATGCAGATTTTAATTCTGAAGTTGAAACACTCTTGATGTTTAATTCACAATATTCAGTAAAAACTCTTCAGTACATCACATCTCATAAAGCAAAAATAACACCTTTCAGAAGAAAAGTAAACATTATCTAAATCTGGACAAACCCAAAAAACATCATTTAATCCAAGTCATGCTGCAGTACATGAAAGTCTGCCTTCAACTCAACTAAAAGACAAAACAGACTCATGTCATAAAAGTACTACACTAATGAGAAAACTTGGGCACTGATCCACAGTGCATTCCAGCAAGGTTTTAGAAACTGTAAACAAAAACAGTCCAAAGTACACAAATGAAATTCGTTTTCCTCTTAGAGCAATCCATATGGGGCAGCTCCCAAATGCCACCCACTTGGGTTTTCAGTCCCTCTTGAGATCCTCCTCCTAATTTCTTACAGGCTGATCAAAATAAAACTGACAGCGAGGTTTGTGAACAGGTTCACTCCTCCCTGAAGCAAAGAGGGCAGATAACTCATGTCAACACTGCAGTGGCAGATGCTGTTCCAGCTCAGCACACTCTGAAGTACGGAATGCTGGGTCCCCAGCACAGGAGAGGTTTGGACATACTGGAGTTAGTCCAGGGAGGAGCTACGAAGGTGATTAAGAGCTTAAAGCAACTCTGACACCAGGAGAGGCTGAGGGAGCTGGGACTGGTTAGCCTGGAAAAAAGAAGGATCAGGGAAGGATCCTGTCAGTGAGTACAAATACCTGATGGAGAAGGACTAAAGGAGGTACAGCCAGATCTGAGTGACACACACTGACAGGATGAGAGGTGACGGATACAATCTGAAACACAGGAGATTTCACCCAAATGCAATGGGAAAACCTCAGTAACAGTGAAAAGAGCCAAAAACTAGAACAGGCCATCCAAGAGGTTGCACAGTCTCTGTGCTTAGAGATCTTCACAACCTGATTACAAATGGTCTTGAGCTCCAGGTGATCCTGGCAGAGGAACTCCAGAGGTTCCTTTCAACCTCAGTGTTCCTGTGATGCTCACGAGGAAAAAAGCAAGGTCCCTGTTTCAGAGTTGAATAGAGCCCACTCACCAGCAACACCAGTTGCTTCCAAAGGTGTTTATTGTAAGCCTAAATTAAGTACATAGCCTCAGACATTATGGCCTCAGCACTCACCAAAAATCACCTCTGAGAACACCTCTATCTTAACCTTCTCATTAATTCCAGGATGAATTGTAACCCACAGAGCACTTCCAAAGCTGCAGTTGTTAAAGTAACGCAAACACAAACACACCCTTGCACATGCCTAGTGAAACTTGAATAAAAGAATCACCCAAAACCCTTTGCATTTTGACCACAATTTTGACAACGCAAGTGTGACGCGGCCCACATCTTTTTTCACTTTTACTTATTTTTAGAGCAAGAGGAAAACCACACTATTTCTAAATTGCAATAGGCCTGTTCGGAGCTGTGTCTGTGTGATATTTCAGCGCTCCAAGGCTGCCGGGTCACCACACAGTGCCTGTGATGGTAGAGTCGTGCTGAGGGCACCCCTCTACCCCTGTCCCAGGAGCTGTTCTGCTCCCTGCACTGCGTCTACCACAGCCTCAGGGACGATGCCGCCGACGAGGCTGAAGCCTCACAAGTCAAACGAAAGCAAAACACCCACAGTCAGTCATTTACCACAGTCAACGTGTACCACAGGCCACGACCGCGGCAGGCGCATTCAACCTGCCCCAGAAAACACCTTTTGGCAGCACAACAAACCCAGCCCGGGAGGCACCAGGGAGCCATTCCCCGGGCAGACCCGGGAGTCTATATCTGAATAAAAATACTGTAATATCAGGGACGACGGCAGGGAAAAGGCATCTCCAGACCCACATTCCCGGCGGCTCGGCCGCGAAGACGCGGCAAGGGGGGAAGCGCCTCCCCGCCCCTCCCCACACCCGTGCCGCGGTACCTGGGCGGTGACGAAGCCCTCGTAGGCGGTCCCGCGGCGGTTCTGAGGCAGCAGCAGCGGGAATTGCCGGAGCAGCGCCCGCGGCCCCGCCATGTTCCCGGCCGGCGCCGCCGCCGTTCGAATGCGAGGCCCCTCCCTCGGCGGCGGGCCGCGCACGCGCCTGAGGGCACGGCAGGGCGGGGCGGGCCCGTGAGGGGACGAGCGGGAGCCTGAGGGGGAGGAGCGGGAGCCTGAGGGGAGGAGCGCGGCCAAAAGGAGCGCACCTGAGGGGAGTGGGCCGCACCTGAGGGGATTGGGCCTCACCTGAGGGGATTGGGCCGCACCTGAGGGGAGAGGGCCGCACCCAGAAGGAGCGCACCTGAGGGGAGGCGCACCTGAGGCGGGGAGCGCGTGCCTCTGAGGCGAGGCGAGGCGAGGCGGGGAGCGCGCGCGCGCGCCGCGCTGAGGGGGCCCGCGCGTGCCGCCGCGTGGGGTAGCGCGTGCCGAGGGCGGGAAAGCGTGAGGGAGAGGCCGGCACCGCCCGCCCCAGCCCGGAGCTCGGGAGGAGAAGCTCCCGCAGAACCCCGAGGAGCAGCCCGGGCTTCCCTCCCTCAGCGAGGAGCGGCTCTTCCAGAGCGCTGAGGAGTATGTGCGGCTTCCCCGCTTTAGCGCATCCTGAGGGGACACGCGCCCTGGATTAAGTAAGGAGGAACTATTAAGTGAGGATAGCTATTAAGCCAAGCTCGTAGCAGTCAGCCGCCTGTGCCAAGCAGGTTGTGGTGCCAGCCAAGGCAAAGGGTTACTTCTGGCTCGATTTATGCTTTCTTTTTTAGGAATCACGCGCTGTTTCGCGCCTCAGAACGCTGAGGGTCAAAAAGGTCTTCTGCCCCCCTCACACAGGCGTTGGGATAAAAACCTCGCTCTCTTTTTTGGGTGGGCTTCTGCCAGGGCCTGACAGCCACTGTGTTTGGGGAAACTCGAGGAGAAAACTTAAACTTTGGTATTTATTGTGTATTTTTCAGAAAGCGTTAAGACTTCACACATCACTGAGGCTGAGCATCATGTAAGATCTGGCAAGAGTTAATTTTTGCCTAAAGAGACGTGTTTGGGAAAGAAAACACAGCTTTCTGCCTAATTAGACAGGTTTGAGACAGAAAGCACACTTTTACAAAGGGATAGGTGAATTAGCAATGAAAACAATAAACAAAAAAAGTTGCAGATCACCGGTGTACTCAGGTAGACACTTTGTATCAGGTCAGTTCTTCGCAAGAATGTTGCTCCAGGCACCCCTTTTTGGGAAACCAATGCAAGACTGTTACCAATTCAAGAAACATTTTCTAGATATATGCACAAGAAGGTTTTAAATACCCCTGTGTTCAACCCCTACTCCCATAGGTAGCTCTGCTATAGTTGTTCGTGTGCCTTTCAACTACGAAGCGTGGCTCACCACGAGCGGTTAATCCAGTGCTTCATAGCAAATTGCATCCTTCATGTTATCTATTAATTTAATTTTGACCAAAACATTTCTTCTCTTGAGCTGTTTTCTCTCAGTAGGCGCTACACTAGAAATTCCCTTATTTAGTTGTGAAGTATCTCTGTACTTTACCGGGTACACTGATTATTTCTTAATTGCATCAAATGCAACACTGAAAACAGGGGTGTTTTTTTCCTTCTTCTTTTGGCCGTGTTTATCTTAGTCTCTTACATTAAAAAAAATGTCAAGTCACTTTAGCCAAGTGCTAGTTATGAAGTAATGTATCTAAATAAAAATACTGTCTCAGAACCATAAAATATTTTGGTACTGGGCCCCAGAAAACATTAATCATTATCTTACACTGTACATGCTGCACACTTTTAAAGTTTGTATAAAAATGCAATTACTTGAAACATCATGTTACTATTAGCAGGCACACAGACTTTAGCATTTTTAAAGCAGGAAAGCAACAAAACAAGAGCAAGAGAGGTTGGACAGATCTGCTTCTCAAGGGAAAGGAGCACTGATCTGATTTTTCAGCCACAGGCCACATTAACCAATTTAATTACAATTACTGTTTGCCAGAAGAATCATAATGGAGTGTGTTATTAATTATTTGTCCATTCAAATATCACATTCAACCAGTTAAGCCATCAATAAAATCATGCCTTGAGTGGCAAAACAAACAATGTGCAGAGCAAACACTTGAAAGCATCAATTTCTAGGCTAGATTTTGTTACTAGAGTTATCCCACAAACAGCCAGACAGCAAATACATTCACTGAAAGCAGAATTCACATGGAACCACACTGAAATAATGTGGATTTTTTTGAAGAATTGGGGTTTTTTTATTATTTATGTAAGGATATTATGAAAGGCAAGAAAATAACGGTGCATTGTTCTCTGGTGTCTCCAGCATAAAACAATCAATTTAAAGCCATGCAAAATGGCTAATACTGTTATTGCTGTCCTTTTTCATAACTCAGTGTCGTTTTATTCATCTTGCCCCTAAGAAATGACCTTTTCTGTGCATATCCCCACCTTTTTCCACAAATCCCCTGAGTGACAGAATCTCATCCTAATCCCATTTCCATTTAGATGTTGCAGAAAAGCACTGCAGACCTTAGAGGGAATAAGTAATCGTAATGGAAAGATAATAATATGTTTATGAAATCTGGATTTTATAATAGCAAATTGAAAAATTACAATAGTATTTTGAGCCACTGAAGGTCAATGTTTCTAAGAGCAAAAAGCCATCGATCAAGTGTTTCTAAAGTTTCTTGCTTCGGGTTATTTTTTAACTCAAAACATCTCTATTTCAGAGAGGAGCATCTCTCTTCTGAGGTGATTCCAAATTTACCTAGTGACCACAAAACCTGGTGTTAAAGGCAGTAGTTGTTTGTATAGAAAAATATACTCAATATTTTTCTGCAGACCTAAAAAAAGCAGAACAGCTTCACAGGCCTCTACAAAAGGCACCATAGGCCGCAGTGTAAGGACTCCATCCCTCAGTAATTCTTAAAGGTAAAAACATATGTAAAAACTCATAAATAAATCTATCAAAACACTACTTGCAATATTATGCAGTTGTGCCTTTTTTTCACTAAAGGTAAATTTGCTTGCTTATGCCTAAAAGGTACACCCAAGCTGTACATACAGAAAACCACTGGAACTTCACTGAGGTCCTGGACAAAAACAAAAACAAACACTTAAACCTTGTCCTCAGCTAATTAAGGAGTTTCCCCCTCTCTTTGAGCTTCAGTTTTCCACAGTTTTAAAACTCAGCCCAGACACACCAACAGGCACTGGGACGAGATGGAGTTTTCTGTGGCTAAAGCAGCAGTTGTTCCCTGAGAAAGGTTTGACTGTCCCACTGCTGCCCCTGAACGGCTCAGTGCTGCTGCTGAGGGAGCTTGTGCTCTGCCCTTCACCCTGTTCCTGGCCCTGCAGCCTCTTCTCTCTTGTCCCAGCTCTGGTTCCCAATCAATCCCTTGTACAATGGGACAGTTCATTCACTGATAAAAAGCTAATTTTTTTTTTTTTCTGAGTTCATTTTAGGTTGGCCCGGCTTGCTGAGGCTGTGACACCAGCACCAGAGCTGAGCTGAAGAAAGCATCAGGAGAACACATCCACACACCAAACCACCCCGTTTGGAAAGAAGATGTGAGATCAGACACTGCAAGAGCACAGAGGTGAGAACCACCACCCTGCCAGGCCACAGCCTGGCTGTTTTAAAACCACTTTGCATCACTAAGAATTCACAAAGTCAGGGACTCTGGACATGTCCATCATAACACCTCGGTACAAAGCAGTGCAGCTGCTCACAAACGTGTCTGAAGCAGCAAATGCCTCTGTTGTGGTGATTTTGAATGCAATTATTCTTCTGTATTTAAGAAGTTTAACGTTAGAAAACATATGTGAATACTGATTATCTATTAACAGCATGAAATGATGAAGCAAGCACTGGCTATTTTAAACTGGTTTGGGGCTAGAGGGCTCTCAAGGCTCACATTCATCTTTGTACATCTAGGCAAAATCTTGGAACTGTTTTTGGCAGATGACCCAGCAAAATGACTGATGTATGAGCATTAATGCATTCACATAAATTAACTCTGCACATAAAACCCACAGCCTTTAAGCCCAATTACATCTTCCCCCAATTGTACAAATACTCCCTTTGCAGTCAGTGGCAACTCAAGAAGACGAGGCCAATCCATATGTTATATTGATTCTAAAGGCACAAGAGTCTGCAGTTAATCCCTTTCAAACCTTGCAGAGCACAAGCTCTTGGAGATCTTCCAAGCAGCCAGATGAAAGTTGCCTTTCAGAACCAGGGAATGTATGTTGTTAGAGATTCCAAAACATGCTGGGCCAAAATCTGGCCTTGCTTTTACCGGTGTAAAGTGGGACTGCTTCAGGAGAGATGTGTATTCATACACCAGCATAAAACTGATCATTATCTCGCAAAAATGCCTGTAATGCTAACGCGCCTTCCTGTTAATTGCCAAGAAAATCAAAGCAAGGATCAACAAGAGAAAAGGCCTTCTTCCAGCTAGAAATGTTGTAACCCCTAAAACACTTGTCAGACACTTCATAACAGCTCTGAGGCTTCTGTGCTGCTAACAGGTTTTACCTGGAGATGATTCAGATACCAGAGTGATGCCTGACAGTGTAACTCTTCCCAGATAAGTAAAAAACTGAGCACCATTTTCAAGGTTTCTTCACCACAATTTAGAAAACTTACATAATAAAAACAAACTTTGAAGCAAAACAAAATACGTCATTATAAATTGCACAGTGAAATAAACATGTAAAACTAAAAGGACCTGATTTTGCATTTTTAAATGATAAAATGACTCCCTATTTCCAGATTGCTGGGAAGTCCAAACACTAATTTTCGGAACACCAAGGTCAGAAAGGTAAGTCCTTGTTACCCAGTCCATTAAGATTATGTTTGACTACTTTTAACTCTTAAACCATTTTAAAGACTTGCCTCAAAACTCACAGAAAAAGCCCAGCCATTATTCACAAATAGCCATTGATATATTGGGGAAAATCCATTATTTGTCTTAGAAACAAAGGAATTTTAAATGTAGACAGAACAATAAATATTATGGGATCGGTAGCTTAAAAATTCACTGTATGTGCACCTTATGAAGAAAGTGACTCTTTGTCTAAATTAAGAAAGCCAGAAGATGCAACTCCAGGGATTTTCCACTAAGCAGAGTTTACATTATAAAGTTAAATGTAATAAAGGGCTATAACTGTTTTAAGTAAATGCCTAAGAGCAGCACAGACTATAAGAGCAGAGAATACTGTGCAGAAATTGGGAAGAAAAGAGAAAAATACATAATGTATGATGTAAAAAAGAAACAGATAACGAAAATTAAAAGGATTTTACTAGAGGAAAACAATTTCATTTTATTGTAAAGCTCTAAATGAATAAAATAAAGTCTTTGAATGTGAAGATGATTAAAAAGACAAAATCATTAGCTAAAGATATTTACAAGTTTAGACTTTCATTTTGATTGTAATTTTAATTAGCTGGACACTAGGGGGGATGAAAATGAAAGCCTACATCATCTACTTACTCTTTAAATTGCATTCCACCTTAATTTTCTGCTCTTCAGTTCTTAATTTTCTCTATTTTTGTTCTAACTAATCCGGTTATCAGAATAAAGTGATTTTCTCTCAGCCAGGTTTAACATTCAGTATTTGAGTCTGTGAACCAAAAGTTCATCCCACTGCTTCAATTTTTATTCTTTCAATAGCAGAAACTCTCCAGGAAACTTTTCCAGTCTTTTGTCTGTTCAGCAGGGTGCTTTATGTACACACGACAGTTATGGAGCTAATAAGAAAGGATTCTATTTTAAAAATAATTATGTTCCATTTACACAGTTTCCCATGAAATTTACTCATAAAATGCAGGATGCACCGAAAGATTAAATGCCATTTTCCTCTTCATTAAAGCCATTTTTCTAAATGTAACTGAGTTATTTGCCTTTTTGTCTTGAAGGAACCACATGCCCGAGCAGTGGTTAGACTCAGTTTATTCTTAAACAAAAGAGCTAATTCCATCTAGGCTGCCTGTGCAGGGCACAGTTAACTCCCAGATTTGTGTCCCCACGTCACACCACGGACACACAGACACCCCTTCCACGAGGAGCTGCACTGGGGGAAGTGCTGAGGACACCGCTGGCCCAGCTGTTCCTCCTGTGCCCAAAGCCCTTCTCCAGAACACAGTCCACCTTCCTGCTTCCACCAAAGGCAGCCAGGATGATTGAAATACTGGATGAAGGCAGTTCAAACAGATAACATTGCCTTTTCCAGAGAAGCTCTGGAAGCAGAGATCCAGAGCTGAGGTGCCTGCAGCAGGTGCATGGGCAAGACACTCCAGTCACCTGTGAGCATCCTATCAATCTTTGTAGGATTCCTCAGCTCCTGCCCTGCCCTGGAGATGAGCTGTTCTTAACTAACCATCTGGGTGAGCTGTGCAAAGGGCGTAGCAGGACCATCAGCACATCAGGGCTTTCGTCTGCACTGCACATGGACGATGTTTTGTAGAAGGGAATAAAAGCCTCTATTTCAGCCCTCAACCAGATTAGCTGGTTTGGGCCAAAAGGTTCTACACTACAGTTGATGTTTTCTCTTAAAGGGCACCAGCAGAGTTAATGTTATCTCGGTAGGTCCTTGTTTCTTTAAAAAAAAAAAAATTCTTTTAGGAGAAATTCAGCCGTAGGAGATGTCATATATACCATTCTCACATTGGCTGGATAAAAACCAGCAAGCACAGTTTGATCTTGACAAGATAATTTTATTTCTTTGTTTAAAGCAGTACATCCAGAGGCCTTCTTGCCCTGTCTTCTTCTAAGGAACACAGGGAAGATTCGTTCCACTGAGAGTATAAACAACCTTCAACAAAGCCTACAAACACCTCTCTGTACCTGAGAGTTCTTCTCATTTTAGAGCCATTTTAGTTCACATCAGCACTGCGCTTTTGAAGTGAATCTCTGATTGTCCTGATGTCCTGTGCTTTGATTCACATCATGATGTGGTATTGAAGCACATGAACGAAATTCCTTTTGGATTAAACTGAAGTGGGAAATGCTGAAATGCATCTAACGCAGTCCAGCTGCAAATGGCCATTCAGTTCAATTGGACCCAGCTACAGCTTTTTTAAAGCAAAAAGAAGAAAAACATGACATGGACATCCCACCCTCATCAACACAAGTTTTACTTTAAATTCACACTCCTCTTGGTCTATGAACACTGTTAGTGAAGATACAGGTTTAAGAATAATCCACTTCAAATTCAGCACTTCCCTATTTCCAGTTTTTCTTCTTTATCTTTTGTGGAATTCCATATTCATCATCTAGCCACTCTCTCCCACCTAACTCTCACAGGTTCAGAACTCTGGCAAGATACAATTGTCGGTTCCCTGGGCAGAACAGCCAATTGCAAATGTTTTATTTAAAACTGAAGGTCCAATTACAGGACCAGTTTATGATCTCAGGCGAGCCAATATAAATCTGATCTAGTTCATTGCCTTTAACCTGCCTGCAGTAGCTTTATTCCAGATTTGCTCACGTGCCATGAAATGGAGTTCAGACAATGGCTCTGATGATCTCTTTTTAAAGAATTAACTAGTAATGTAAGCTGCAATACAGAGTCCTTCCACCTTTGAAACAAGGCTTCACAATTGTCACTTGTGGCTCAAAAGCATATGTTGAGTCCAGCAGTGCTTCAAGGACCAAAGTGCTTTAAAGACTTTACTGAAGGAAGTGAGAGGTGGGCATGCCAGGACACCGAGATTTCAGCAACACTGCGTGAAAATAAGGATAAAAAATTTGATTTTGTTTTTTCCTTTCCCGCTTCATTCGTTTATTCTTCTAGGAACTTATATGTGCCGTTAAATATGGACTAGAAATCTATATACAGTTTGGGTTGGGTTATTTTTTAAAAACATCTCATTTTTTGGCCATTCTGCAGAATGTGATTGAAAAACCCAAGTAGGCATGTATGGCTTCCATAGTGCACTCAGCTATTGAAAAAGTCAGTGCTGCAGAGTCGCTTTTCAAACCACAGCTTCAAATATGTTTGCAAGTTTTAGGTTCAACATAAAAAGTTTTTATGTGGTTGAGGGTTTTGATTTTGGGGGATTTTTACAGGTTTTTTAAACTTTATGCAGCTCAGTAATGTTAGATGTCCCAAATAATTCAGTGCTAGTTCTCTTTTTTCTTTTTTTCCCCTCCTTATTGGTATTTTTCAGAAGGTCCAGTTCAAATTTCCCTGTTTCCTAGGGAAAAAAAGAAAGCAGATAAAACCAACAAATTTTAAAGACCAGGTAAAACAAAAAAAATAGTAGGGATACTCTTTTGGGCTTCCTTTCTGTGATAGCTGCTTGTGAGTTGAGAATAAGGAAATAATTATTCCTGTAGCTAACTTACTTGTGTTAAAGAGCCCAGTTACCAGGATTATTTACCCTTCCCCATACTGAAGAAAAATATTTAACTAAACATGTAAAAAAATATTTGTTTCAGAGCTGTCCAGATCAGGTACAGGTTTAAGTAGGTGCTATCCCCAGAGAAACTTTGATCCAAAATTCATAGATATCTCACTTCACTGCAGGGATTTTTATTTCAATCCCATTAACTAGAAAGAAGTGAAGTAAGTGAATAAACGCTCTACCCAGTCCCTGTGCTGGTAGTTGATTTTCGGAGTCTACAAGGAAGGAGAGACAGAAACAGTCGACAGCAAGAGCCACATCCAGCAAAGCACAAAGGGAATGAGCACGGGGTTAAACCAGGATGCACTTGTTTATACCCAAATGACACCACAAACAGCACATTAGACACATAACATCAGAGGTATACAACAAATAAACATGTTTCAATCAGAGCTAAAAGTGGATTTCTGGACACTGACAAAGTTTTGTTGCCTGGGACTCAGAGCACAACAAAACCCAGGACAGCTCTGTCACCCTCTGAGCTCCTTCTGGCCCTGGGTTTGAGTCTGTGCTGGAAATTGTTTTCAGGTGCAGTGATCACAGAAAGAAAACACGTGCAGGGACATAACTTCTTAAAGAAACAACAAAACTGAAACAGGCTTAGAGAATTATCCATCAAACTACACTTTTAAGAATGGCTATTAAAATGTTGATGAAAGAATGGAAGATGATGAGTCGGGGACACTAAAAGACCAAACGCTTGGGTTCTACAAGATATTGCACTGAGTACTAAGAATTTCACTTTATAACCCAGTGTGATTAAACAGCATACTGCTGAAAATGCAGATGTTATACTGCTACAGTAAAAAACAAGGCATTTTTAAAAGATGTTTCCAATTAAATCACGAAAGACCACGAAGAAAATAGGGAGGGGCTTTGCTCTGAGTGCAGTCAGATAGAGGGACTAGGATTTTGGGGCTGATCTTTGAAGTTTCCTTCTTCAAACTACACGGCCTTGAAACTGTTGAAAGCTTGAAAGATTTTCCTGGTGAAACTGCGTAATTCTCCAGTTATGTTGTTGCTACTCAGTGATCTGTGTGAGCTGTTTGTAAGGAAGGATTATTTTTAAGGAAAATCTGTTCTCAGGTTGACCTTGGGTTCGTATTTCCAAGGCAGCAAAAGAGAAGACACCATGCACAGCAGTGAAAATTGCTGCCAGGGATGAAACATTCAAATCTCAGTTAGGCATGTTTTAAAATGGCAGTGAGAAACAGAACACTTCCAATAACTCACCGATTTTTCAAAACACAAGTGTTAATATAAAATAAAGTTTCAGCAACGACAGCAGGATTTATCAAAAGAGTCCTTTTTATAGGGGATATTCTTTATTTTAAAATTATCTTGATTTCCTGGGCATTAGGCAAGAAACTTTTTTTAGCTAAAAGAAGTTTGAGAATTCTGTTGCCTTAGTACTTCGGTATCTGAGCAGCGGGTGGCTGTTAGTTTTGCTGCAGATATTTACCACTTGTAAAACCATTGCATGTTGCCTTTGTTTCTAACATCACAAACTATTCCTGAATTCCTTACTTCTGCTCACTTAAAACTCGCAAGTATTAGGCAGTCTTTCCTCACATCTCTTCATCCTGATGGGATTATTTTTCTTTGTTTGTTTGTTTGTGGGGTTTTTTTTAAATTGTTTAGCCTAAAATTTTGTATTTATTGAGAGAAATTGTGGGTTTTTTTTCACTCAGATGCATTTCAGGTATTTTCCCAAAACTTGCTATTTCATTTGGAAATATTGTTGTTCTTGATGTAAATATTCACTGTTTTTAAATATCCAAATTACTTGATGCAATAACCCTGTAAAATGATAAGTAATTATACAGAGATATTCACCCTCCAAGCAATTACATGGACCACAAAATTTACTAGATTTTTAAAATATTTTGCAAGAATATTTATTTTATACTTCTCTAGACTGTATTTATTTAAAATGTTATTGTAATAATTTTTTTCTAGAGTTACCATTTTTCATTAAGACAAAAATACCAGCAATCATTCTTCCAAACCTTCTCTAGATATTTTTATAAAGGACAAAAGACATTTTTATAGAAAAATAAACAAATCTGAAAAGGTTATTGTCTTCTTCACAATATTTATAAACTTCAATTAAAAAAAAACCTGAAATAAATTGTGTCAGTCCAGCCTTTCGAGTGTTCCATGAGTAGGATATTCACATCTTACATGTGAATTTAAATGTGAATTTAAAATTCTGCCCTGTCACCTGTATGTTCAAAATATCACTTAGTGGTCTTTCCATGCTTCCAGTTTAAAAACGGAAATGTTTCTGTTTCAATAAATTTTGGGGGTAGACAAATATTTATTTGGTGTTTTTTTTTCCCTAGCTGTCCAGCAATTTCTGATTGCAATGAAATACTTGACAGACCTCGAAACCCTCAGTGCTTCTGACTTCTTCCAGGAAAATCTGGGAGCGTCTCAGCTGCTTCTGGGGCTGCAAAATTCCTCCCAGCATGAAGAACAGAGGTAAGTTCGTATTTAGAAAGCTCTACTTTTGTCAAAATCCCATTTATTTATGACACTTTCTATATAATTTGATCCACTGGTATTTAGAAATTCTTCCCCAAACTGGTATCTCACATCTCGGCATGTTCTGACTCACATATCCTCAACAAAACAGGAGTTGATACACATAAATAAAGCATTTCTTGCCTTTTCAAGGACAACCCAAAGCAAAACCCCCAACCATTTAAACAGAAATTTGTTGGGAAAATTAAATGTGTTCAACAACACCATCCTAAACCACCTGATATTTTAAAGCTATGGCAAATTTCAAGAACATTTTTACTGTTCTCCCTACATTACCTCACTTGGATCATTTGTCTTTCAAAGGAGTAGTAAACCTTAATTTGCTTTAGCAGCTTTGAATGGATTTTTATTGTTTCTTACCACAGCCTTTCAACTCTAGTAATTTGAAAACTAAATATGAACTGCAAAACTCAGTCAATCCTGTAGTATTCTTTTAATATCAATTTTTATGTAATTAGCCCCCAAACTGTGTTCAATTACTGACAATTATTCTGATGCACTTTGAGGGACAACACTAATTTCACACTTAGCAGCATTTTAAAAGGAAGGTGATTCAAACACTGTATAAAAAAGTCCCTCTCTCAGTACAGTCTCTCTGCTCAGCTCTGCATTGTTGCAGGCTTTGGGAGAAAAATAGGATTCCGCCGTGGTACAACCCCAGAGCTCAGCTTGGACAAACCCACAGCTGTGTGTGTGATTCTGCCTGGCTGTGGTTTGTTATGTCTGTCCTTAGAACACCAACTGGGCCTATTATAAGCTCGGCTGTGCTCTTTTTAAACCCATAAAATCAGGGAAAAATCCACAGAAACTGATGCACCACACTAAGACTAATAATTAAAGTGACGTAATCGGGGTCTCTTACATCCAGATTTCTTTCTCAAGTGGTCCTACAGATATTAGGAACATTCCTCTCAGGACAGTTGCAAGGTTCCCTCCCTCAGGTTATAAAATCATGATTTGTCACCTTCAGCCCGTTCCTTCTCCCTGTCCTACAAGGGGTTGCTGATGTCACTGTGGTTCCATGGGGATGATATACAGCTCCTGTTCCATTGGGGTCACTCGAACTATCAGTCACTTTGTAGGGACAAATTATTTTTGTTATATCCATTTTGCTGTTGGACTCTCTGATGGATCTTGTGACAACTGGAAATTCTATTTATTTATGTGCATATTTAAAAGGTTGTCAGTGGAGCCCAGAGCACTGACTGGGTACTCTTATTAGAGAGTAGTAAATATCCAAATAAAGAAATAAATCAAATGACACCTTCCTCAAACGAGAGTTACAAAATGGAGCTAACAAATATTGATAAGCAGCACTCTCCAGAAAACCTTCTAAATTATGCTCTGAAGTCTAAGCAGAGGAGACAAGGAAACAGAAGAGTTATTGTCAAAACAGCAGGCACACACTTAACAACAAAAATAACAACCTTCTGCTGGTAAATGACAGCCAGTCTTGGCTCTGGTGTATACCTCAGTGATATGAGGGTAAATTTTATGGTAAATAAAGTTGTATGCACTGCAAGTCACCGGGAAAAAGTCACAACTTTATAAAACCGTGGGAGTCAACTCCAGCCTGTGCCAGTGACTGCTGAGGTAACAGGAGCAACAAAGGGAGAGTGTCATCATTAAAGGAGGCCCCAAATCACGCTCAGTCAGCAGCACTGGCAAGAAACAAGACCTGACTTGGGGGGAAAAGGGGACGAAAATGCAGTGGAGCCCCTGCAGGACAGAGGGAAATGATGAGTCCTGGGCTAAGCAGGAGCTGTCTGGGGGAAAGGGGGAGCTGTGCACGTGTCAACCCCAGCTGGGAAAGGTGTATTAAAATTCAGAATAGCCCAAAGCCCAGGGTTTGTTTCTGCTGACTCGGGAGGCGTCGGAGGATGAACCCACGGGTGACAGCAGCAGCCTCAGAAGCTTTTGCAGAGTAAGGAAAGGTAAGGTTTTTACAGGATTGCACTGTTTGTAAAGGTACAGGATGGAAAACAAGCAGTAACACTGAACAATCCACAACTTCACAGCAGCAATTTTCCTCTCTAGAGTGAATAATGGCTGGGAGAATTAAGGGCAAAAACACTTATAACGAACACTAGAATGTTTCTGACAAAAGTTTTTACACTTTATCAGGTAAGTAATATCATTTTAAAATCGTGTTGCTCTACTGAACTAATTGCAGCAATTTTTAGCATTGTAGATCTAAACTACTACGTGAATAATGTAAATTAAAACAAGTTAGCAAAACACTTTATATGTTTGCACAAGAGATCACTAAGGATATTTGGTACTGGATCACATAGCCCAGACAAACATTTTAAAGCCGAAAAACTGAAATAGCAGAAGATGAAATTGGGGGTTTCCAAAATTCAGCGAAAGATAAAAGGTCTGGTTAAAAGAGTCGGGCACAGAATCTCCCGCTGTATTGTGGGTTCACCTGCTTCTGTTTAACTATTGCAGCAATCCTGGGCTGTACCAAACAATCTGGGCAGCAATACCCAGGCACAATACAGCAAGTTAATAACAGAGCTTCAGTCTTAACTGTGAATTCCCTTGCATTAGTTGGTATATTGCTGATCCAGACAGGCTTTTGTGGCTTAATACGAGGCAGCACAGAGAGTGTCAGCTGGAAATCCATTTCGGAGTCGTGGAACAATATACAGAATATAATGAAGCCATTCCCACCTTCCCATTCCTTTCTTGCAGTAGGAAGCCAACATTTAGAAACCCATAGCAAACAAACACCTGCTAAGCATAAATCACGGGCAGGAGCACAGCTCTGGACAAGTTCAGAGAGATAGGACGGGAGAAAAACCCATGAAAAATCCTAATAGTCATTAGGAAAACCCAACATTTATTTCACAAACTGACAGGTGGCCAGAGAATCGCCTTCAGAACAACCATAAAGAGAGAGCTGGTTATTATGCCAGTAAAACTTAAACAGCAGAGCTTTTTAATAAGCTGCACTCTGTTAGGAGTACACTGAGGGAGCCCAAGCAGGAAAAAGCAATAATCACATCTAGCAATAACAAGAGGATCAACTAATATCCATCATAATTTCTCCCTGTTTTGCTTCTCCCTATTAGTATGACATATAGTAGAAGTAGAAGCCGCCTAACAAGATAGTGAGCAGAACAGGTGCACGAACTAAAGCGTCTTCCATTCCGAGAGTCAGCATTTTTCTTTGGAAAACCCTCCGTGTGCTGTGCAGGTTGGAGCCTGGGTTGCCCATTGCTTCTCCCCATTGTGTGATGTGTGCACTATTTTATCTCTTCCTGCGGAGTTTGGTTGTGACACACATAACACATGCGCCCGTAAAGTTCCCCAGAAAGGCGCTGCAAAGGTTCAATATATGTCATGGCGAGCGTATTTCTTTGTTAATTCCATAAAGAGGGTCTGGAAAAGCCAAGTCTCCTACAATTTTTGTGTCCGCAGCGGGGAGAAACCGGCACTTGGCTTGCCATCGTTATCCCAGAATTATGGGGGACCGTGTGATGCTTTTCCTCTTGCCAGAGAACGAGAGTGGAAATGGCACTGCCCCGTTACTAATGCTTAATGTATGACCAATCAGGAGCTGGAAATCATATGACCGGTGGCAGCTTATGCCATCCCATCAGTTCGTAAATTGGATGCAGTTTGTCAGATGGACACAATATCCCTCCACTGTAGGTGGTCTCTGTTTCATTAGGTTTCAGATTGATGGCAGCGAACGATAATCCAAAAGTGTGCAATAGGTACATCAACCTCATTTTTCATTAACAGTGCTTCCCAGACGTATTGGGAGCAGGTACAAAACATAGATTTTGTTTGGCTTACTTTGATCCGTGCAGAGACTATTGGGTATCTGACTTCGCTGCTGGAGGCTTATGGTTTCGGTTAGCAGAACCTGGTACAGCAACTGCATGAGGTGTTTCTGATATTATCTATTCATTCAGCTCTGATGCAGAAATAGTGGGTGGCAAAGCTGCTAATTTTTATTTTTTTTATGAAGTGATGAGCAACCAACAATTTATTTACATACGAGGCACTGGAGTTACTGGAGCACCTTTCTAAATTACAGGTTAGATACGAGACTGGCAGTGATTTTTTTTTCCCCCCCTTTATTTCCCAAGAGATTAACAGAAATGTTGGTGCATTTTTGCTGCTTCTAAAAGAAATTAAAAGACTGAAAGTCTTTGCCAGGGTCACTGAGATGACATACAGAACAGCTACTGGTGTATCTTACACAGTTTTGACTTATGGGGATGGGTTTTACTTCACAGTGAAATAAATTGAGGTAGTATTCAGTGTTGCTCCAATACTGAGTAATTGAAAAGGCATCTTTAAACCAGGGGACTTTGGATCCCTGCAAATAATATAATATTTATAAAGCTGGCAGAAAAACTGATATTAGACTCTGCAGCAGATGAGTAAGAACCTCTATCATCAGGACTGATAGGGCACCACATGCTTTCTCTATCTTCGATACAGTTTTCTTTCTAATTTGTATATTAAGAGAGTCCATCCACATCATTAGCAAGTTAAACATACTTATTCTAAAAACAAAATCAAAGCTCCAACTAAAGCATTACGAAGCAAAAATCACATTTTAATGTTAAAACGAATGGATTTGATTATGCAGAGGTACACGGGCTGTTAATCATGTAACATCAAGCCATCCATGTAGTCAAGACAGGCAATATGGTTTACTCTTCGGGTGCATTTCTTATCTCAGTTGTACAAGAAGTTTCCATCCCCAATATTTCAGTGTCTCGTTCTGAGAAATGTTCCCCCAGGTGCTGAGGATTTAAAGAAGCCTCTCCATGTGCAGAGCACGAACAGGAGCACTGCTCTGTGTGGGGCAGAGGGAGGGGGAGGCCTTGTGTGTGCATGGATGTGCCATGAATTCCTACGGAAGGGGCTGATGCAGGGGCTCACATCGTGCCACTCTTTCAACAGCATCTCTCATCATGGTTTAAGAACACCTTTTCACTTTCATGCTGTTCTGTAGTTATTTAACATAACTGGGCAACTTTTCTTCTGAAGTTCTAAACCATGAGTCCATTGCCCTGGTTT